TTGAAACTCTCTATTTTCGAAGCCTTCACTTAAAAATTGACAATCATAGAGTAAAATTCTGTATTGCTCTTCGTATCTAGGTTGTCGTTCCCCATGACGATAGCCTAATCTCAACTACATACTTCTAGAACTCCAACCACTACCTCTACGAACGCTTTCGATCCTCATCGACCGCCGAAATCCATGGGTAAGGTCAAGGATCTACGTATAGCCGTGTTATTCGTGTCCATTCGTATTCTTGACGGGGCCAGCTAATGAATATGCGGTCAAACAGCCGATGGGCTAAGGGGACAGACAAAGAGAATTGGAGGGCTAGGGCCGACGATGAGCTCAGGCCGATTACATCAGCTAGCAGTGGTCACAAGGAAGAAGCAGTACAGGAGACATTGATTAGGGCAAACAAACCGGTGAGATCGTATTAACCTCAGATGCCGCTGCTAGCGTTAGCACGACCGCCTTAGTCATTCCATTTCGAAACTATCGATCAGTTTATGAGGTCTGTAGATCACCGTGGGCTTCAATCACCATTTTGACAATTCACTTCGCTGTTGTCTCCGCCTTTAATCGCTCTTCTCTAACGTTGATCACCTAACGCTATGGCCACAGATTCATAGATAAAGCGGTGTAATTCACTAAAGCAGAGTTTGACGCTTTCAAATTATTTGATACAGTGTCAACCTTCAAAGTAATGTCTTACAGTTTGAACACGAAACATTTATTTAATGAATTGTCAACAGATATTTAGCATCTATCTACGTCAACATTCCGCCGGTACGGTACCTACGGGGCGACTACGGGCGCATGGCGACGTCTAATTAAATACTTTATCATCACAAAATTTGGAGCGTTCGAGCGGTGCGTCCATACAAATGCTTCTTTAAAAAAAGTGTAGGCATTGCGTTTCTATACCTTTTTTTTGGTTCATCGTTTTGGAGATACATATGTGCTTTTTTATATCCAGGACAGCCTCCTTAACAAAGTTAAACAACTGAATGCTGAAAAAGAATAGAATTTATGAATACAAACCTTCAACTGCTTCAAGCTTCTCAGATCGTGAACAACAAAAAAAATGCAGACACGAACGCAGCAAGTTGCTAACAGTAACTAGCGTTCTCGGTTCAAACACCGAGAATGAATCAGCGCTTAAGAAGAACGACCCTAAAATTTTAGCTTCTCTGATACTTAGAACCACGGCTACCATTTGTTGATACTGTCCGGTTTAGTTTACTGTTAAACTAAATAGAGCAATTATATTTTTTGCAGAGAACTATCACACTCACTGTGTTTTCCACTCATACCAGCACATAGTCTCAACATTCTTGTGTAAGCAATGCATCAAACTACGTAGAAGTTTAGTAAGTATGTAAACGTCACCAAGCTTTTTCTGGAAAAACGTTCAAATCTTAGCAACTGTATGTAAGACTGTAGCAACCAATTCGGCAGGCTTGCACAGGAGCCACTAGTAGACCTTCTTTCTTCTGCTTCTATAGCATTCAATGGCTAAGGGTTACATTAGGAGTTTATATCCAATAGGTATTGCCGCTGCAAGTGAAAGCTTGCTTTTTAATCTTCTCGGTAACAAATGGCACTAGAGCTGCATGAAACACAGAATTTGCTCGATATATAAAATTTGCGAACTGTGAACGCATGTTGTTTTTACGGAAGCTCGACATTGGGTCCTTCACCGTTACCAACACCAATCCAAACACAAAAAACAGGCTGTACTCTAACAATGCATTCTCACAATTCTAAATAACAAAAAAGATTAAAATCTTGCTAAACTTTTACATCCACGAAGTCTACAAAAACTCTCTAAATATGTGATTTAACAATCGGCGTCAAGTGCCTTTTTGAATGCTTGTCATTTTTGCAAGTGCATATTAAAAATGCGGCCGTACGAAAGCGCAAAGTTACACAGACAGAACTGAGTATTAAAATTATCAATGAAAAAAATTGAAGCGGGATAAATAAGATTACATTTTTGTTTATTATTTTTATAATTAAATTTTTGTTTTTCAGTGATTTCTCAATCATTAATGAGATAAAATTGGAACTATCTCGCAATTGCTGTGAGACATTCATAAATTGTGTGAAGAACATCAAGACAGGAAAGTATGCTTGCTAGAAATAGGAAGCAACTGGCCTTATTACATCTTTTTTATAATTATTTTTATTGTCCTATGTTATAGGAGCGAATCAGACCATACATCTTTTATGAATGCTAAGGAATACAGAGCACGACAAAGATTCTAAATGAGGTAAACATACTTTGTTTATTCTGTAAACATTGGTCTAATTGTGCTTGCCTGGAGCCGCTTGTAGATAAATTTACATTCTAGATAATAAAACAGAAAAATACATTGTACTCACTAATTATATAATAAGGAGCATCACTTTCGTGCACGTTTATTGAAATCAAAGGAAAAAGCCACCGCATGTAATAATATATGGAACCTTAGTCTATGAAGTAGTATAAACTCACTGCGATTTACAAACGCTGAGATCCGTCAAAGTGCCTCGTGTCCATTTAGTTTATTCACCTGACTATGATCTTCGCAACTTCATAAACCTATTCCTATCATACTATGTATAGTCTCTTTATGTTTCAAGCTTTAATTCTGGTACTGCCGTTCGCCACTCCATCATACTGCTGGTTTCCAGTACGAAACGAAGTCTGTCTATGCCCGGGATTCGAACCTAAACCACAACGTGTACGTAGGATTAGCAGGTAAATAAATTACCCATTCTGCGGGGGTATTCAACTTAAACCTTTCACAGTCAAGATGTTCAGTCGTTCAAGCTCACGTCATTCATGATTAGACTACTCATAAAAAGACATGAGTTATGCGCCTCTAACAAGCGTCTCACGTCATGTATTGCACGAACCGCATGCACCAAAACTTGCAGTTTTTTGCTATCGAAAATAATCGTCCCAAAAGAAATTGGTGCTGTTATCTGTGACGTGGCTGAAAACGAGAAGCTCTAATATACAACTAATTGGATTGGGCTTATATTCGCGTGCAGATAGCGCTTGTTTCGTCGGCTTCGTTAAACGCGTGTTGTATCTGCTTGCCCATATTAGATGCTAATCAATAAACAGACAAAGCAAATGCGCTTGTTTTGAGATCGTTAAGTATAACACTAGTCACATAGAGCAGCGCCGCCGGGATGCTAACCGGATGCTAAATACTAAACGAGCATGCTTGTTCATGTGCACAGCTTGGCCTTATTTTCTCCACCCATCTTGCTCTATCTACAATAGTGTCACTTATCACTTCTGTTGGAATGGGTCAATTACATCTGTCAATCAATGGTATTTTAATATCGGTATTATTTGTAGATTGTATTATTGTAAGAATTCATTAACTAACCTTAATGGTAAGTTTTTATAAATAGTAAGGCTATAGACGAAATATATTGACCTGGGTAAAAGGTGTCATCGAACTTCGTGTATCTGAAAAAAATTGCCTTAAATCTACTAAGTCACGGCTAAACTTTAGTGTTCACAGCATGTTCGTCTGCATGCGTCGACGTATTGCAATTAAAAAAAAAAATGACTTCTTTTACTTATACAAATTGTATAGTATTTATCGTTGGCAGAACTTGAAGCAGCAGCCCCGTGATTTCCTTCAACCAGAACTTTGGCCGTCCAAGCCGTTTCGACATCAAAAAAATTCCAAAATTTCAATTTAAGAGTAGATTTAAAATTTAAGAGATATTAGGTAGCATCAAGATTAGCCATGTGAACCTAATGTTTGTCTGAACGGGAAGATTTGGATAACTAGCATAGGTTGTCTTTTTGAGCCAAAAAGGGTCACTACTGTAGGCGTACGTCGATAATTATAGGACTGATTTGAAGAACTTTTTCTCCACGCTAAGGGGCAAATGCACTCCAGCCATACCTAATTTCAGTGAGAAATTTATAATGTTGTCGTGTCATGAAGTCAAGTTTGCCTAATTGTGGCAACTTTTTTGTGTCTTATATATACATTCAGCAGAGTGCCTTGTTTGGGCAGACACGAGTAAATTATGGACTTCACTGCCAGCAACCTCCAAAATCTAATGTCTTGCTCTGCTAGATATAGGGTTGTCTATTGTTAATATATAACTAAGGTCTACAAAATTGAACAGAAAACTAGAACTAACGGATAACGGGAAATGAAGGGAGAATCCGAATGAATATTGATGTAATAGACGTATCAGTTGTCATTGGTAATAACAGGTTATATCTTAATAACCAGCGATCCACTTAATCGGCAGCCGTGCCAGAATCATACCATGAATGAGTTAATGTCAATAATCCTCAATAAAAGTAGTAAAACAATATGGTTATATGTAACTTAGTAAAATATATGTGACTTAATATAAGAAACGCCATCATTTCGCCTACTTAAAACTTATTAACCCTCGGGTTTGTCAGTTACAGTAGTAAACCCATTAAAGAGGGTCTCCAGTTCCAAACTACCTCCATCTCAATTATCCTACAAAATCTTACAAAGTGATTCCAACAAACGCTAATATATGTAGTCACATTTCACCAAAGATTTTGACGCTATGAAAAAATATCTATCACCTCCCGGTGTAGAGAATCGATTTCAAAAATCCTATTAGCGCCAGTTGTCAATTTCGATCAAGATTAAAATGGCAGTAAGGTGACTCATCCCGCTGTGTTTTTAGTGAGATCATTTATGGAGAGCCAATCGTCAAATGAAAAACACCTTTTAAGACGCTCCAACTGGACCCGCAGCTAGGAAAGAGACTGTCGTTGGAAGGCCCACTGTAAATGTCTGCTTTGCCTGACAAAGTTGTATCGATTCTCCTGTTTCTCTATTCTTTTGCGACTGCTAATCAAAACAGGAAGTTGTCGACCTTGCTTATTGGAATAAAGGTATCTTATTAAATATATATTGTTTTTTTTTTAATAAATTATTCTGTACATTAATTGCTTGTTATGAATAATTAAGCCTAATAAAGCCATTTATTTTATTTTTATTTATAAACCTCGTAAAATATATAAATACTCTTATAAAACCACAATGTTTCTGTATCGTAGAGCACGCGCAATCCTTGAATTTGCGAAACGTATACGTGTCGTATCTTTTCCTAAATTGCTCGCTGCGTTTGTCTTTTATACTTATTTTAATACCTTAACATTTACACAAAAACGAATTCGTGCATCTGCAAACGCGTTGCTGCCTGCTCGCTAATCCAAGCCAATCTTTATAGCTGACAGATCGAAGTTCTGAGAATATGCGGGTCACTTAACGGCAATTATTAAAAAAGGTACAGTGACAAAAATATTGAACGAATAGCCTGAAAAAATGTGCAAGAGCAGGTTGCCTTCAGGAAATCACAGCAAATGCAACTGTGATGTAAACCAGAAATTAGCTCGGCCAAATTCTAGCTCGACGCTATCATAAAATTCATCCATTCAGATCTTTAAATATTTTCTCTCATTTGCAAGATATTCTTTGAAAGTTTCACCAGCGTGAGAGGGAAAGCGGGCGAAAGAGGACACAAGATTACAATTTGTATCGATGTGATTGAGAAGGTTTTCTAGCGAAAGCATTTAGTCAAATACATCTGAAGTGTTTCCATGTAAAAAGGGATAATTCCGCTCCAGCGAAAATCAAGTAAAGTGACGTCTTTATAAAATGTGTAATTCTAATACGAGTGATAATTCGTTTTCTCCTATGTCAAAACTGCTGATTAAACAATGCTACATTTTACGCGAGGTTTTACAAATTTCGACTCTATAGCTTCTATGAAATTAACGTTAACTTTTGCGCAGAAAAGCTACATTTTTCTATCCACATTTGAAGCGTTCACGTTGCAAATTTCTACGAGATCCTCCGGCAAGTTATCAATAAAAAAATAGGAGATACTTATAACTCATAGCCGCAAAGGATTAGTTTAGCCTCTTTACACGGAAAGCCATCATATTGTCAAAATTATTTTGAAAAACACCTAATTTTAAACATTTACCACGGCTTGTGGCCGTTTTCTAGCATGAAACATGACGTTTAGTTATCATTCTTATTTCTTATCCTTTTACAACAACTACATTGTGGGCCACATAATTGCGTTTCCTCTACCCAATTTAAGCTTCGGCTACCAAAGGATTTGAGCAAGCTACTTTTGAAAATATTGATTCGTTTCTGGCAGTATGAGCCTTTGTTGTTGTTGTTGTTGTATATTTGTTTATTCTTTTAATATTTTATGTCATAGGGCTGTTATGTATAATACATAGTATACAGGTGTATCTGTATCTACCTAACTATAAGTTACGATAAAGCATAGCTGTCATAAATCACCGCGCGTTATCTATCTTATGGTAGACACGGCCCCCTGCTTGAGGCATCTCGTTGTACCTGAGGCTCGCAACGAACTGAAAAACAATTTAAGAGACATTAGTATTTTGGCTGACTACACGTACTTGCACTATAATTGCTGCTATTACTTCATGTACAACTGTCAGATTAAATCAAAGTCGGCGCTACAAGCGTTCAACTTTTATCCTAAACATCGACGATGTACGTTCTGAGGTACACAGCAGTAAATATTGTCGGCTATAGTAATCCGAAGATTCAACGCGTCTAGTACTAGCGGTCGAAATTTGTTATAATATACGTAAATAAATGATCAACTTTCAAACCAACAACTTGTTTCGGTACAAACTATAATATCCCCCCCCCCCCCCCAAACCTTTCAAAAATCCACAGTTTAATTTAAAAAAAAAAAATTGTGTGAAGGAGACTAAGCCCAATGTTCACATTCTTTTTATTCGGTAGCTGCCACGTGAGATGTATAGAAATGCGAAATCAACACAAATTACAAGCGCTCCGAGCCAATCATTATCCACTAGTTTAAAATGTAGCAATTTTTCTTTCAAATACGAAGTAGAAGAGACTAATGTGGATAAACGAACCCACCTAAGACTACTTACCGACAATATCAATATTTTCAGGTTTGATTGAATGGCATCTCATGTGTTGTCGCAATGAAGAACTCTGTCTATATATATTTCCTTCAAAAAAAGTAAACAATACTACCATTAGTGACCGACAGGTTGTCACAGGCGAACGCGTTTCACAGGCGTCAAAAGCGGCATCGTCACGTGATTTGGTAATGGGATAGGTTCTATATAGCTGGGTCAGACAGAGCGTTGTGATAGCAGAACGCTAGTTTGTAACGATATGAAACTAAAAAATCATCCATGGATAACTTACTCAAAAATAAAAGTAGTATAGTCTTAAGCAACTCACATGAAAATCGCAATCTTGAACATAGGATTGAGTTATGAATCAGGTTCTAGAAGTCGATAACTTTTAAACATTATTCAATTGCGTTGTACGAATCACGAAATGCCGTTAATGAAATTCTCGGAAACACGGTTTTGTCACCCATCGTTAAACTGACAATGTTTCAAACTAATGTCTGGCACCGTGCTGACCCGAAACTATACGATACATTTTCACTGTAGATAAAATATAAATAAGCAATTCTGCTGCATTTGTTTTCTTGATGCGTTCGCCATTGACCGCGTACCACAGTTAGTGCACTTGTAAGGCTTCTCAGCGGTATGAACAACGAGATGTTTGTAGAGCGACGAATACTCTGTAAACGATTTATCACAATCGGCAACGCGGCATCGAAATGGACGTTCTCCACTGTGAATGCGACAGTGATTCCTAAAGAAAGCAAACAATGTAAATATTAGATTATCAATAAACTGTTACACCATATAGATACAGAAATATAAATGAGCCGCTGTTTTACCGCATACAACATTTAGTACATGCAAAAGTTCTTGCAGAGTATTTCTTCAACGGTCGTACAATTACCTATAATGGATTAAAATTCCCAGATGAACTACAACTAAATTTCGAACTATCGATTTATAATTGAGCAGAAGACAGATTTAGGAGGCTGTGTGAAATGATCTAATTGAAACGCGTCGTTTAGCATTGGCCACCGAAAAAAGTGACTCCGCTTTAGAAACTCAGAGTGTAGCACTTTCCAGCCCCTTAGAAGCCGCTCCAACAAAGCACTGCTATTCTAAATCACTGAAACTTTTGAAAAGAAAAATTTCGCGTTAGCAATGTTCATGACGTCACCGTTATTGTTGTTCTTGACTAGTATGTTGAGCACCAATTGCTCTTTAAAATCAGAAAAAAGGTGCTAATTGTTTCATGCCGCTTTATTATTATACAAATGCGATCATTGACAAGATGCGAATGCGATTACAGCAGATCCTCCGTATTAAGAATTTACGAGCAAACATATAACCACTTAGCTACTACGACCAATTAGAAGCAAACAATGTATTTCTTTTATGTATAAACCGTTAGAGGAGCCCAGGCACTTCAGCACTAGTACACTTCTTATAAGAAGCATTGTCCATATGGTGAAAGGAACTGATTTGCTTATTGCTGTGTTCTTTTACTGTAGAGCGGCAAAAATGTAAGCCCGACTAAACAACGCTTTGACTTCCATATAAGACAAGGCACGAAGGGTTGGACGGTGTGTAAGCCGGACTGTTTTTTTTTTTGAAATTATGATGAATATTTGTATCCAAATCAGTTATACAAAACATGAATGCATTTGATGTCATCTAAATTAAAGAGAAATAATCCAACTAAATTTAACGAAATAATAGTTGTTGCGCCTGTTGCTCTACTATGTGATCAAGGAACATCAGTGGTTAAAGATCGTCAAAATAAAACTTACCGCAGATTAGTCACATTCCCGAAGGTCTTGCCACAATCAGCCACTTCACAGCGGTAAGGCTTTTCTCCACGATGACCTTTCAGATGCTCCGCGAGAATCCCTGCAGTCGTGAAACTTCTTCCACACCCAGGCTCCGTGCATCCGTACGGTCGATCTCCAGTGTGAATCCTGGATGAGTCCATTAAATTTAATCATGTTCGTGTTTTATAAGATTTAGATCCAATAAGCAAGCTAAATTATAAAAATATATAAAATTATATAAAAATAAACAAACCGAGTTTTTATAAAAACGAACATTTCTAAAATCCAACGCTTCGAGCAGTATGGTAGCTACGTTGTGTCTATATGCTGAGCTGGTTTATAACAGGTGGCTTACCTGCTGTGCCGCTTTAAGTCACTGGAGGTGGTGAAACCTTTCGTACAGAGGCCGCAGATGTACGGGGTTTCACCCGAGTGCTTCCGCTGATGAACTTTTAGAGCATACGAACTTGATAAAACAGCATTACAGAAAGGACAGCGGTGCGATTTTTGACTGTTTGAAGAGCTGCGTGCTGCGCGCTTGGTGCCAGCATTTGCCTTGCTACAGCTGTCGGTGCTAACAGTATTCTCCATCGGCTGCTTCTCTTGTGACGGTACTGTGATCGACGGAAAAATCTTTTCGTCACTATCGGTTAGCAGTCTGCAAGCAGAAAAATTCGCAAGGAACAACTCACATTTTAAAGTAGCCTTGCGATCTGTTTACTATATGATAAAATAGATTTAAATCCTCGTAATTGCAGAAGCTTCAAGTAATATTATAAATGGCAAACAGGAATAACGCAGAACAACACCGTCTTCTTATTAGCTTACCACTACCAACGGAAATGCTACAGTTTGCGGACATCATTTGGACAAATTAATATATATATAATAGACAGCTATACGATAAAATTTCATCTTACACTTGTAAAGGAGAAGAACTTTCTGCTGACTGATATAACGGATCATTTTCTGGCTGCGCAAGAACGTGTGGCCCAACGATCTCTTCTAAACTTCCTGTCTCCAGGAGATCAAACTCAAACGCCTCCATCATGGTGAGTTTTTGAGCTACTGAAATCGAAGGAAGAATTAACTCGCAACATCGTATAGACTAAAATAGATTAGACGAGGTGCATTTTCTACTACTTATTACGTTATCTGATTAATTAGTTAATTAACGTTTCTTAACGCCTATATACTACCAGATAACTCTCAAATAAATTGTTTAATAAAAGCAATGCTGTAGTAAATTTGTAGGTTAAATAATATTTTTTAGTAAACCTATCCATAGCTCATTGAAAATCTAAAATAACAAAAACAAACTTTCTCTAAAATGTCTTTCATAATCCAACCTGCAGTAGTAAGGCACTTTTACTGAATAATCTGGCAGCTGACCAGTTAGATAAGCATCGAAGCATTTCATAGACACCTTGATTTCGTATCATTTTATAGCAACAGCAGCAAATGGAAACTGACTTTATTAATATAACTATATTGATAAAAGTAAATAAAACAGTTTAAAAGAGCTAAGAAAATGCCGCAATTTTCGGTCTTTCTAATAACTGAGTACAAACCAAGCCATAAGCAGTAATTTTGTATTGAACAAGATCGAATAAATTACTCTTTGAGACTTTTAAAACAGATAAGCTTAAGACCCTTTTTTAAAGACAACTTGCGACCAAATATAGGACTATCAAGCCATCGTTAACAACATTCGAACCCGTCTTGGAAACGAAAGTGATAAAGTTTTGGCAGAAAATAACTCCTTCACAAGATGATCGGTTCTGTAAAGATAGAGTAATTCAACCAAATATACGGCAAATGCTCTGCCGGAAACTGGTGAAATTGCGTAAGAAGAAAGTCTGTTCATAGGTTGAACATCGTCGATTTACAGAACTTCAGAAGCATATCGGGAACAGAATAATTGTGCGTACAGTTGTAGCTTTGTTGCAGAAATTAGACTCTTAAGGATATTAGGACACGGTCGGGAATTGTTAGCCAATATGTTAACTTTGTTGAATTCAAGTTCACATAAACTGAGGTAATTTGTATCAATCCTTTGGCGATCTATAATATCACATTTATATTAGCAAATACTCGTGCATTAAGAAAATGAATCAGGTAATGAAGTTTGCCTTTAGAAAATGTTTTCCCATTCTGCGCGGAAACTGCTTAGAGCCTGTCGGTCGGCTTGGGCTTATCCAGTTTTGACGATTTCACTGTTTCATAAATGTTTCAGAGTGTCCGAATACAACGGATTGGATATAGAGTACATTTTCAGGTCATATAAGTTGCTGGCAAATCAAAAGATGCGCCGGCATTTCATTTTAGAACGAACACCACAAAACCGAGGACAGCACATTTCTGTTTGTGTACGAAAGTCTCGAAGTAGCAGACGACTCGTCCATGTGGTCCGCGCTGCGACCTTGCAGTTACACAGATATCAGCATTGCTACAGTGTTGTTTACATGAGTTAACTATTAAAGTAACACTTATATCTTTATCTTATATACAAGCTATACTTCGTGCAGGCTCATAGCCTCCTCTTATTGCGAGTCGGAAAGTTCATTGTTTCTTAGTTAACTACTGTAATAACAAGTCACGTACTATACAATTTTTGTAAGAAAAGTTATTTTTACAATCAGTCAAGAGAACGCCAATAACGACAGTTCGCGACTACTTTTACAGTACTAGACAACATAGATAAGTATATTTTGCAAAAATGGCGCAAATCGGTAGCAATTTAGGTAATCAACTGGCTGAGCCTTGCAGCCCTAGCCGTGAGCGAAACCATTCATTCGTTCTTATTTTTCCATTGACACTCGTGTTCGACCTACTCTCCTTCCGCTAGGCTGTCGCTGTAAACAACACTATAAGCAGAATAGCAGACTCTGCCCCAGTAGAGAGAAAGACCACAGCCTCTTTCGTGGATATATTTAACTAATATTTAGTTCCGAGATAATTAGTTAGTGAAAAAATCTGGTATAAAGGCAGTATGGCTTGCACCGGTTATTGTAATGGACCCTCAGCTGAATTCTTATTCAAGGAAGCAACGCGTGGAGCCGCCTAGTCCGTAAGCGGATTTTCTCAGTGTAGAGAAGTAAAAGATTCGAAATGGCAAGTGAACAGATGGACACACCAAGTGCCATGTCCCAGCAGTGTGGCAGTGTAATAGAATCGTCGGCTAATACTGACATTCCATCTGTAGCAGGAACATCTTTGTCGTCTCGAAAGTAAGTTGACTAATATTCTGACTTTTTCAAAAATAGTATCGTTGTCTGTGGGCAGCTTTGGTGTAGCATTGGCAAATTTTCGAAAATAAAGAAGACCCTTTTTTCTTTGAAATGCTTTATTTTGTGGGTTAACAATTATATTAATAACTTATTACCAAGCAGAACAGTGTGTAGTGCTTAGTTAAAAGATTCTTGCATTACTGGGATACCTTTTATTTTTTACCGATTGGCAACTGTGCAAAAAATAAGTCCGTTCACATAAAGCCACAACGCGTAAATATGTAGTTAATAGTTGATTAAAATACCTTGTACAATGATGAGGTCGAATTGATTTAGTAAATTCGTTAAAATAAAATGTGTTTTCTGCCCCGCTTCAAGTGAGATAAACACAGTGAATCACAGAGTATATTTTTTGAAATCTTGAATCATCGGTTGAGCCTAAAATTGCAACGACATTGTAATGGGGCAGAGAATTTCAGAAGGAAGTGATTGAACAATGGTTCCAAGTGTAAAAAATGTAGGAGTAAAGCAAATATGCTTAACAATAACGGAAAGCATAGTTAATATCTAATACAATGAAAATTGGCTAAAGCGGAACTGGAATACGACATGGCTGAGCGTCGTGTTGTTTCAAAGTAACCAACTAGTAGTACTTCCAACCAAAGTAGATTTCTCGTCATTTGCTACTGTGAGGGTTTACATCGATAACCGTTTTTCTCAACGTTTCTTGATCTTCAAACCTTTGCTTTAGCTTCTTGTCGCCAAATAACGTTGAAAATCTGCGTACTTTGGTGGAACGTTGTGATTCTGTAAACCCACTAAGTGGCTTTTGTTAGAACACTGTGAGTTAAGCCTGATGAGCATGAAGTGGCCAATTTTTTCTACATAATGTCAAACTTTTTAAACAGAATTTAAAAAGGTAACCGCCTGTTTTAGAGTGAATTATTTCTTGTAGAAGTTCAACCAAGTTAATTAAAAAAAAGACCTGATAATTTCAAACGATTATTCCCTTCGAAAGAAACATATATAAAAAAAAAAACTATTTTTTTTTATATTTGTTTTATTTGTTTTATTTTTTTAACTTCCGCTGCGTTATTTCAGGAAACGGCCTCCGATCCGTTTGTCTGCGGCGGAGCAGGTGCGATTGACATGGACGGCACGACAAACTGAACCGCCAATAGAAACATGTTCAGTGGACATGCAACCCGAAACAGAAATGGAAATTGGTGCTACACCAGCAAAATTAGATATATTTGCCGGCCAAGAAATACGTCTCACACCGAAAGCCCCAGTTCGGCGGAAAAAAAAAAGCGGTGAGTTTTTCTTCTGTAGAATGTGCAAAACGCGTACTGAGTTGTTTCAAAAGCTGATCGCAGGTAACTATATAGGATATAATTATTGTTAAGACTATTGGGATCATTAAGGTACCGTCAGGCTAATAATAAATTCATCACTGGAGTCATTTAATGACCTTTGTTGCTCAAAATCATACTCATAGGATTGAGCGATGGTTTATTTACACGTTTGATACATAGCGGTAATGTTGGTGCTTATTGGATCTCTTTCCAGTCAAGGAAATAATACAATCTCGTATTTCTAAAGAGTACGCACTTTCATTGCGCCTGATTCCGTTTGAACCTTCACACAAGTCGCACTTTCAACTTGGAGAAATAATTTTAAGAGGTAGTAAACTCGATGCACCAGGGCTATGCACTAATATCGCCGGGGACGATTCTGATGGAAATATTACCGGTGCTAAGAATGCAGGCATTTATTGGGCTTGTAAGAGCACAGATGAAGGAAGCCCAATGCACCTCTTTTGGAGGGATCCTACTGCTGATGATGAGGTAGGTACTGATCAAAAATGCCTATGAAAAAAGAATTAATCGGTTTATACAGTGATGCTGTGTGCAAATACCATTCAGTTCAATTTCGGTCTTGATTTATAATTCAACTATTACTTCAGGGATAGCGAGACTTCGAACTCGTTAGTGCTTCTCAACGTTGTTTCTAATAGTAGGTACACTATCAGAAATGTCGCGTAACTTAAAAAGCTCACGCAATTACTGTTGTCATAGCTTGGCTTTCGTGAAGTGACTGCCAATGTTCCAGCATACGTGATCTCCGCTCTATCTTCCCGACACCGTTCTATGTCCGGGGCAGCGCTACTATGTCTTCGCGAGTGTTCGAGTCCAACCTCACTTTCTGTCACTGTATTGTTGTCCGAACGTGCTCTTCGTAATATTGCATATCGCTACGAGGCGCCGACCAAACAACCAAACGTCAGCATGCAAATTATAGTAAAATTTTTCTTCGGAATTGATTATACCGGTGAGATATAGGTAATATGTACAACGCTTTACAACATACTCAAGATAAAAAGTATCCGGTAAGAATTTTCAAATAGGCTTTTACACTAATTGATTAATGAAATAATTCTTAAGTAGATACTTGTTTGAGCTAGGCATATTCGTGAAACATGAATGAAGATATAACACGGCAACATACTGTCGAATTTTTCAGAAATGGGTAATCAGCTGGCTATCCACCCCGATTATGATCGCTTATTATACCAGGAAGTGCTGGAAACTCAAAGGGCTGCTGGCATGCTTCCCATCAGTGACGATAAACTACAATGCCCTCTCCAGGTAGCATATAAGAATTGTTATAAGAATTTCCTTTTATTTACAATAAAGTAAAGGTCGTTGTTTCTAAGTGTTTGAATGAAAAGACTAGAATAGCTCTTGTTTAATTCATCAATATATACATCTGAAAGAGACTCCGTGCTTCCGATGGTCACAGGTGACTCTACGAGAATATCAGCGTGAAGCTGTAACATGGATGGTTGCGATGGAGACATGTCCACCGTCAGTAGGACCTGTTGAATTATGGCAACCGCTAAAGGATTCACAAGGCCTTACTGTATATTATAACAGATTTTCTGGATGGCGAGTATTAGCTCATTATTTCTGAATCTGTGCATTAAGGATAGAACTACCGTTTCGTGATCATGTGTGATAAATTGTTATTTTTTCAGTAAAGTATTGTGATAGTTGTGATCGAAACAACTGTGTATTCGAAGTCGTACAGGTAACACCGATTTATTCTTACCTTTTACTCACGAAACTTACGTATAATAACGATATCTTCATGTGAAAGACTCGGAACTTTTCTTTTTCTTTAAAGGTTTGGCAGTCGAGTATCTAGTATTGGGAATACCGAAGGCCGCCCCCCGGGTGGTATTTTAGCCGATGAAATGGGTCTTGGTAAAACTCTTGAAGTAATTTCATGTGTTCTGGCTCATCCGCGTCCTGGTTTTCCAGTGATGGTAAGTACTCCAAAAACCTTCATGTACATAATATTCTTCTGTATAAGTTTGTGCCGGCCAGTGAAAACTAATTTCTTCAAGGTATCGGAGTGGTGTTCTGTTTTAAGCGCATATGAATGACACCTTTATGGTTAAACGGGCCAAATTGGTCGAATCTAACGCGTACATCCTTCACGTATTTCTTTGTCACAGGAAGACCAGCAGGGGATTGTTTTGGTAGAGGACTCCAAGACACTGACTCAGTTCTCTTGTACTATCTGCAGTAGGGTGCGTTCTATTACATTTTTTTTTATTTATCGTGTATTCAGTCGCATTTATTTTATAATTCCTTTTAGGCTCCGTTTTAATATCTGTATGGCGCAAAATTATTGACCGTGGTCTTCACCCATCAGCTGAAACCAAGAAACGAGCAGTTAGTTAGTTGGTGGAGTGAAAGTTCTCCAGGCAACCGTATGGTTTTACAGCAGACATTCAATCCTAGGAGTTACATCTAAAGATCTGATAGAAAAACGGCCGTTTATGAAGAACTTAATACCTAACTGTAATACATGAGTTGAATTCCTTATGTTTAGAGGTACCATATGCGGTAAAATATACCGATATGGATGAATTACGGATTGATTCTCATGGATATGAACTTTATAGGTGAATGAAGCAAAGTGCGCCGAAAACGTATCGTCGAAGTGTCCGCAGTGTTGGGCAGCTGAAACTGCTGAAAAGCCTCGGCCTATAAAAAGCACCCTTATTGTCTGTCCAGCCACCATTTGCGAGCAGTGGACCGATGAGGTTTGTCTGTTACTTAGATTTAAATGAATATAGATTGTTAGGAAGTCATATATGACCATCCCAAGACGATATCAGACAACCGCTGTCTAATGACCCTCCAGGAGACAGTTCGGCACCTTTGTATTTACCGTTTTAGTTTGAAATGGGGAAAAAACTTTGAACATTGTAACGCCCTACATTGCCTATTAAGGAGTCACGAAATACAAGACATAAAGATGTTCTTACGATCTACTTCAGATTAATTGGCTAGTGGGTGGCGACTGTTCACTTCAAGTCTTCGTCTACGGAGGTGTATCAAAACATGGCTACATTCCTCCTGATCGCTTGGCTGAGTTTGACCTCATTATCACAACCTACGAAGTACTACGCAAGGAGATTCATCACGCAAACATTGCTCTTGGTAGATTACTGAGGAGCGCACAGTTCAAGTTTCCATAGTCTATATTCGTTGCAGCTCACATTTTCCAAATGAAGGCATTTTATTTATTAATTCATTATTGAGTTGAATGCATTGCTAGCACTGTAAAAAAATAACATTTTGAGACATGAAACTAAAATACAGAATAGTGTTTTTTATGTCTGTGTATGTTTAACAATTTTTTCTAACGATTGACTTCTCCAACAATCGGTCGAAGAGCCTCAAACGGAGACATCTCGCTTTCGTACTCCGAAGCGCTATCGCGCATCACCTTCCCCATTGGTATCTGTCGAATTCTGGCGAGTTGCCCTCGACGAAGCCCAAATGGTTGAACAGTGCACGGTAAGCGCCGCGCAAATGGTGCTCAGCATACCAGCAGTGAACAGGTGCTTAGAATAAAAGTGAATTCCACTTAATATTTATTTATATATTTATATATTTATTAAACACAGATGTCATATTTTTTAAGAGGTGGTCATTTAAGTGTGTTATGTCATGTATCATGTCAACAGGTGGTGCGTCACAGGCACTCCGATACATCGCGGCTTAAACGACCTGTACGGTCTTTTTGTTTTCCTTCGACTGTCACCATTTGACGAAGAACTGTGGTTTCGGACGTTATTGGCTGAACCGTTTGCTCGAGGTAATGCATCGCCTTTGATCAATGTGCTGTCACGTTGTTTCCGTAGGATGAGTAAAGCCGAAGTGTGGAATCAGTTAGGTCTTCCTCCTCAACACATTCATGCGCACAATCTAAACTTTATGCCAGTCGAAGAAGTGTTCTACAAATCGCAAGCAAGGGAGTGCGCCCATCGAGCTTTCCGTGTTGCCGACCGTTTTCCTCAAGACGCTATTATTGAAAAGATGCCTAGATCGGACATGATTACACTTTTAGGCCCGTTAAAACGACTTCGACAAGCTTGCACTCATCCTCAAGCAGTCCGAGGTGCTGTAATTTCACTACGAAGTTCAACCTACTCGATGAATGACCTTTTAACGGCGTTAATTAAAAAAACTGTGCAAGAAGCTGAGGAATGTCATCGACGTATAATTATGTCTTTAAACGGCTTGGCTGGAATCGCGCTATTGAGGTTAGATGTAACTTCAGCTGCTGATTTTTACCGGCAGGTGTTATGGTCGATCCAGTCACACAAAGGTAACGTTCGAGCAGATCCTCTGCAACAGTTTCATACGTATGTCAATCTACATAAATTACTTGAGGACAACAACCAGCAGCTGGAAGTACAAATGGCAAGAACCGCGCGCCCTGGCCTTGATCGCTGGAATCCACAAAGCGTCGCAGCAACCTCTAATGGCTATATGGTGCAGGATCTTGCTCAGGAGTGGGCCCCTCACCCACAAGTAGGTGTTTATGGCACCCCAAGGGTACCATCTATACCTCGCGCACCTGGCGACGACAGTCTGATGGAGCAAGCCTACCAGGTTAGTGAATATTAAATATTCTCAAAAATTTACCCCAGGCATGGATTGGTAGTAGTGCTCCTTACCTGTAACCGTTTTGATATTAAGCCTTTAACACTTTTACAAAAATGCAGTTATAACCGTGGTAGAAATAATGTTCTTGAAAATCTCTAGAGACCGTAAGCTTATCAAAAAAGTTGCAAAGTGATTTTGTCGCTCAGCTAACCTTGTCCCCGTGGAGCCTTTTGAGGGTATGGAAATCTGTACCCTATTTGGACTGAGAAGTTCGTTTTACTCACCTGACCGGGTTTATTTGCTAAAATTAGGTTTTTGAGGCTCTTACTTATTTAGACACATGCAAAAACTGCTAGCCGGAAAAAGTTACGCGGGAGTCAAGGAGGTCGGAAAATGGGTCTCCGACTATTTTGATTCAAGGAGCTGACGATTCCGGTGCGAACTAACCGTTAATTGGGAGAACCGCTCGTCAAATCAATAATTAGTTCAATAAATAAAGTTTTCACATTGTTTTGCAAAAAAATATATTGGTTAAAAAGGCTAAAAATGTATTTGTGCATCTACTGTAATCTTTAGAGTCAAACTTAGGTTCTAATGAAATATATCAAATAAATATGTTTGAATGCTTCAAATAACCCAAAAGTTTTTACCTCCTTCTAGTTCTGAAGCTTCCGTAACTGTCTATGTAGTAGGTCTAATATTTTCTGTTAAAAAATCCGTACACAATCCAGTGGTTGCTAAGCATAGGGCTATAAGAGTTGTCTGTCCACATTACAGGCCTTATGTGCCTCGCGTGTCATTGCTTTCTAATTATCGTACGCATTTGATGACACAGGTGCGTGACAAATATTTGAAGAAATTTATTGAGGCACAGAAAGCGCTGCAAGTGGAAGTCGATGATGCTGGACGAAAACTAAGTGAACTCTCGCGTCAATATCAAGGACTCAAACATAATCGGTGGTACCACAAGCTCATTGATGAAGCTGACTCTAGAGGTCAGTCAAGATAAACATTCCGCTTACTAAACCTATCCCAAAGGGGAAGTTAGGGAAATAAAGCAGGGAATGTGTCTTTGTAATTTAATAGACGTGATTCAAAACTGATACAAATTAGTTGAAATTGGATAGCTCTAAAAGAGGTAAATATTGATAAAAGAAGCTAGTGTATGCAGTTGGTCTCAGTGATATCATGTTATAGTCTAAGTGTCATCGGGAGCTAAGTTGTAAAGATTATCATCGTTCCGTAACCAATTGTTGTTTTCAATTAACTTTTTATTTTGTTTTTCAAGGAGATGGGCATCGACTTGTGAAAAAAGTTAGGGAATACCTACTGGCTAGACAGACGCAGTTTGGAATGTGTCTCATCAATCGGTTTGTTTCTCTTAATCTTTTAATTAGAGATCGTTTAATTAGAGTCACAGAGTTTAATCTTAGTTGACGCTTTTTGGCTCAGATATTCAATTTTTATAGTAAAGTTGATCGTTCTGTTTTCGACATTCGTAATTTTGTTTCATATCAAGTATTGTAGTATTCATCATATTGAATCATATCAAGTACACCTTGAAAAAGACATCTATAGCAGATAAGTCGCTTACAGGAAACGCTACGATTCGTTGTTTCCAACCTCATCGAGAGAGAGACCCGTACATAGTTACACAAAAAACAAATAATTTTGTAACATTAAGAAATTATATATATATATATATATGGTTTCTCGTTTCAGTTTCAACGATTGTAATGGTTTGAAATATCTTATCCAGAGCTGTCTTGACATATTGCTCGAAAGCAGGGCGAATCTCCTGAAAGTGATATCACAGTTTGCTGCTGCTCCCACTCGGGTACGTGGTCAGTACACCAACCGCACAGATGATTATACGATATTTCGATAGATTCTGAAGTGGTGGAAAGCATTAATAATAATACTTTTTATAAACCAGCAAAACACAGACTTAAAGTTGTAGTTACAGTTAGTTAGTTAGTGGTGAGTAAGGTTGAATTTGATTCATCACATGTTTAATTTCGATTTCTTGTATTTTTCAGGAGGACATGCAGTCGGCGATCATGTGTCACCTTCGGCCCGTAAAGAAAAAACGGGCCAAATGCCGTTATTGCCTAGCTAAAGAGATGATTACAGCGTACGAGGGTAAGCTATTTTCGATTGATCCCCAGTTCACATCCAAGGATCAACTTGAGGAAGAAGATAACGAGCTGTTAGAGGATCTTGAGGACGAATTTGAAAGCAAAAAAAATGACCCGCTGGCAGACAGCGATCTGACTAAAGGCTCGGGCGTACAAAAGAAAGGCCACTGGCTACCTGCTGACACTGAGAAGATACTCACGTTCCTTGCCAGCTTCGCCAAATCATACACCAGTAAGGATTCTCTCGGTGTTTTCGAGTCTATAGGTAGTTATAGTATAAATGCTCTCATTGATGAAATAGTAAATAGTAAACAACAACTTCAACATCCGCCAGCCAGTGTTCCCATTTGAGCAGTGGTAAATGATAACTAGCAATGATTAAATTGCACTGACTGGGGGGGAATTTAGTAAAAATATTCTGTTATAGTTTCATCTATCGGCTGCCTTTTGCCGTCTCGAAAATACTCATACATGTGAAATATTTATAACTGATTGTATTCCATACGCAGCTTATCCAGACGTGGCGCATGATGGAAGTGTTCAATGCAAATACATGTGTGCGTTGCGTACTGAATACGTTACATTCAGCAAGTACTACGCAGGCACAACCATTTACGTAGCAGCTCTAGACGAACTCGAAATGGCCGCGCTACGAATGGAACTTGCTCCCGATGATAAAACATTCAAGAAAGGCGAGGAGAGACCATCATACATTATACGGTAGGGCAACGAGGCGTTTTCTGCTTTTTTTTTTTCTTGAAAATTAACTGGACTTAAAAAATGTTCGTATATGTAAGTTGAGTAACAACCTAATTGAATGACAGTTTAAATGGGCGGCAAGTGGAAAATAGGATCCACATATTGATCCAATAAATTCAATCGCGTATCAAATAATGAGAGTGCTCTTCTACTATTCTACAAATAATACATCAGAAACCAAAAAAAAAAGTGCAAGATAATGTCAGAGTTTATTTTTACATAAAAAAGTGGCTTTGCACATAGTGAAAATACTTTAATTTTTTTTGCATTTTTTACCAAAGTCTTTGCTGGATTTGAAGAAGACAAATTAATAGGGCGGCCACTTTGATTTTCAGCCAACTTTCATAGCAGTATTCCTTTATTTTTACGGCATCATCGTACAGGATATGCAAGTTGCTGTTGAATGCACATACTCTTCGTTCTTCAGTTAAATGTTTAGGTTGTTAAAATGTGTATAGCAGATTAACGTATTATGTATTTTGTTACCACAGTCGAGCTGAATTAGAACCGCAAGCAGCTCAGCTAAGCTCTACGAAGCTTACAAGCGAAATTGAGCTACGAAAAAAACTCGGTCAGTTATTCTATCTCAGGTTAGTTTTATTAATTCTCAATGGCAGTACCGGATAGTGAAATGTTCATACGTTTATTCTATAACACTTACATATATTAGCTGCTACCTCAACTTTTTGTATGACGTTTCTACTGAACACGTTGTTATAAACTGTATCCCGTTTACTGCAACCAATGCTTCTGTTAATGTGACTGCTGATGACTTAAAGGAATTTGGAAAAAGCAAATAGTCTTGTGACTAACTCCAATCCCGAGGAATGTCCAACATGTCGAGGCGTACTCGGAGAACGGTGGAGCGTTCTACACTGCGGTCATTCCGTTTGCCTCGAATGTATTGAGCTTCTTCTCAAGAATCACTGTCCACCCAACGTTAATACCGATCGGCAGGTAAAATTAAAGTTACATCTATTCAATTATGTATACTTATTGTACGCTATTGTCGTCAAGAAATTCGCGAGTTGGTACAATGTTGTATAAGCTAAATGTCGTTATTTCAATAGGCTGCAAATTGAGCTCGTATCACACTAGCAATATTGAGCTGCAAACTAGCAGATGTGCTAACAATGGCCTGTTACCTCTTTAGAGCAGTGGGGAATCGTGGATCCGAGTTCCGTGTCCAATGTGCAGAGAGCTTTCAAATCAGGACGAAATCTTCTACGTGGATACCAACCGGCAGAAGAATGCCGTCACAAAAGATATAAAGGTTGGTAGAAATCTATTTAATAATATACAATGTTTTCGATCGATGCTTTCGAACTGAGTGTTTTTTTTAAACTCTGGCAAGTTATATTTTACCTTTTGATTATGTCTATATAGGTGTGGTCATCTCAGATATACTGATGCACTTATAAAAACTGGCCGTTTCGTTATTTTTTGCCGTTTCAATGTCTATCGAGGAAAAGACGCTTATTATTACTAACCATTAGAACATTAACATTAACCTGTCATATAACGTACTAGGTGGCTGGTAATTACTCGACAAAAGTTGTGGGAGTTGTGGAAACCCTGCTACGCATTCGCATGGAAGAACCAACAGCCAAAGCGTTAGTGTTCTCGAATTGGCCATCGGTTCTCGTTGTTCTACAGAAGGCTCTAGTCGAGAATGGCATCTCCCATGTGATGCTTTTATCAAATGGGGCACTGCAACGTAAACTCAAGATGTTTAAAAAGAATCCCGACATTACCGTGCTCCTCATGCCCATTGCTTTGGGATCGAAAGGCCTCAATCTGACGGAAGCGTCACATATTCTGCTGGTCGAGCCTATGCTAAATCTTGGCGATGAAGTACAGGCCTTAGGCCGTATTAATCGAATCGGGCAGAAGAAAGAGACACACGTTCATCGATTTATGGTCAAGGCGACGATCGAACAACGCATCGTTGAATTCACCAAAAGTAAACGAGCAGACATAAACATAGTGGAAAATGATAAAGACAATGCGAACGCACATGTTAATCAGGAAGAGCAGGAGGGCATAACGGTTCACCAGATGACGGATCTCTTTGCGGCTGAATTTCAGAATAATTGAAAGACACCGAGCACAAGAACCAGATCAAATACCAATTAATTGAAAAATTTCTACTAATGATTTTCATAAGCTATTCGTATAACAAATATTTTAAATGTAATTAAACAAATTACAAAATTCTACAGTGCATGAATGGTAACTCCTTTTAGTGGCAAATTGGGTATTAATTGCTCCACTGCTAGCTGCAGTGCAGTAGTTAATAAGAAGCATATTATACATATGTATTTACTACCTTCATCGCGCTCGTCAGGCACTGTATATAATACCTAATTATACATACACCTTTAATGCAACATTCTATAATATCACGTTTCATTGTGATGTTCTGTCCAATACATAACAGTGGTTACGTTATATACGTCAGTTAGTACATATTGGTAGAGACCTTAAAGACTACATATTTGCGCAATATAATTATTGACGTATGAACACTCAGTTGTGTTTGGTGTCGGTAAGATTTGCCGTTATCTTAAATAAGGCTTTTTGAAGCTCGAAACTCTTGTGAACCTTCCTCTATTATATAAATTGTATTTATCCCTCATGATTATAGCCCTGTCTACCTATCGCTAAGCAGTGTACATAATAATTACGGTGATAAATGGGGAGAAAAGTAAGATATGATACGAAGTGTTCGTGCAAACAATGCATGTGAATTTCTTCGATATTGTGTTACATATTTTTACTGAATTGTCTTTATGTTCAAAGAATTTGTAGCATAAGTAGTCTAAAATTTGACAACATGATGTGACTTCAGTGGAACATGGCTTAAATGCAGATTCAGCAAATATACGTCTTATTTATGTTGCCTTCCGGTGAAAAAATGACATGTAAATAAATGAAAAATAAATCATATCAGCCCACCGCAGGCAACAGGTGAAGATCTAGACTTTGATCATTTCTCCCTCACTGATGTCAGGAACAAAAATAAGGAAAGACACCACGTTTTATTGTAGGCAGCTATCTCTCTTTACTCGTAATGATTATAAACATCCAGCTGCTAGCTTTGGTTAAGCCTTTGTTTCGTAGTTGTACACATGCTTATACAGCTATCACTGGCGTCGCTTCCGTAGACGCGCCTCCTTATTCTTCAATAACTCGTCCTTTTATTTGAGAGATAAACGTTATGCTGAACTCCCTGCTAATTTTTACCTCGACACACTGTGATTGCTGTGATTCAAGTCTCTTGTATACCCTTTTTTCCTAGGTCTATTCAAGTGCATACCGTCTGTCTTCAGACTTATTCAATCTGATATGATATCGTGAAGCTCGATGTAAAGGCCCGCGAAAAGAAAGTTCCTTTTACCTTGTAAAATACCCTGGACCCGCGAAAAGAAGGTTCCTTTTACCTTGTAAAATAACCTGGGCCCGCGAAAAGAAAGTTCCTTTTACCTTGTAAAATAACCTGGAAGTCGCTCAATTTTGGGGATTCAATAACAACAGTCCAGCCATGCATATAAGTGCTCCATGCAGTTAGCTTAGCGAAACACCCTAGTGATTCAGGTCGTTGAAATCTACCACAGACTCCGAAATGGCCAAAGAAAAGGATCCGTGAAAACTTACCGTGTCGAGATAAAAAAGAACGTAACTTCACTCACTTTGTGGAATTATTCTAAACCGACATTATTTACTTAACTGACAAGAACTTAATCGGCAATAAAATTTTGGGCTTACTAAAATAAGCCCAAAATTAGATCTAAAGATATTTTTTGTAACGGTAGCATACTATCCCATACATTATACGTACAGATGGAACATAGACGTTTTACCAGGCAAAGATCTTAATGAAAGGCTTCAATAAATCTTTTGCGGTAAGCGCCAGAGCTCAACAATAAAGGAAGGGATTCTTGATCACGGTTTGAATACCCGAGGCCCAGAAATCGCTCCCAAGGTACAATGACGGCTATCCAGCGTATCTCTCTCTGTGTATCGAACTTTAACTTCAGCTGCGGCTTACTGAAAAATAGGAAAAAACATTCCGCATACGCGAAGTAGATGCGGGAACAACGTTCAGCCAGTTTCAGCCATATTTCTTAACCAGAGTAAACCGTCGTGGCAAATTACACGCAATTAAAAAGTGACGTTAATTTTTATATTTGGAGAAAGACTTAGGACAGGCACGAGAAAAATGGACTAGGAAATGCACTCATTACCTGAGGATGCTTCCGGTTGTAGCTAAGGACGTCCACCTATTTAAAAATGCCTGTTCTGACGAAAACAAACACTTCATGAACCTCGCAAAGCTACTGGGTGAATCTACAGCCGATAAAATAAGTACCTTTTACTGGTTTCTTTTTAAAGGGAATTTATATTGGAAGATAACGAGAGTACTCGGCGAATTGAACAAAAACTCTTCTAACATACTGAAACAATACGGATGGATTTCGAAGGGCAGACGTGTCAACGGAATGGCCTAATAACTGGGAAATATTCAACCTCAATTTATTTTTATAGATCGTCTAGGGCAGACAAATGCATATTAGATATACGCAAAAGGTCAAAACATTTCTTAGCTGATAAGCCAACCAAAGCGCAGTTTGCAGACAAAGGTAGACAGACTTAGGGTCTTCTGTGCAAAAGGGTTCGAGTTAATTTCAACTTGTACCGTGTTATATATGGTGGTATTGTAAAAATTCTAAAGGTTAAAGTCAGTTTGAATGCAGTTTAGTACCACTATATATTCTAGCAAGAAAAAAGGCTAACAATACACTTTACAAGTCTTTATACATAATATTAAAAATATTTTCTCTGTTTTGACCAAAATTGATATAAGCCCTTTTGCGGCGACGTACTTTCTACCGACCTATCTATCTATCTAGAAATACACCTGCAATGTTTTTTCTAAAAGCGTTTTTCCCGTAATATGCTGCGTAAACGAGGCTTTAGGCTGTATGTATCGACGCGAAAGTCGCAATTGATACAGACATTTTTGTGGCAAATCAATGTGCCGCACTGTCGCATAAACGGAAACACCTGATTTTGTAAAGTGGCTGCCGCTTGGAACTTTCACACTGCATTTTTTTTTGAAGAGTAAAAGCTTCCTCCTATCATTAACCTGTCTAAGCACGAGTATGTCGGCGTAAGACTCGATTACGGAAAGAGGACATCCATGTGGGGTATGCTTCTTTTTAATTTTTGACTAACTGATATCCTGCCAGTTATCTCAAACGACAAAGTGATTCATCTAGATATCAACCCTAAAAAACTTTTTCGCCTGTTTCAGCGCACATCTAATGGTCATACTAGAACACCACAATATGTGCTTCAGACTAAAGTTTTATGGAAAATAATATCTCTCAATGGTGGTTTCGCAGAAACTCGACCTAACGTATATTACAAACTGCGCTGCCAAAGGTGACTATTATGTACTGTGTTCTGCAGAATAATAATATGCTATCATGTGTGAAATACAGTGAGTCGTGCAGTGTAACGGCGTATATATACCTAAAAAAATATTAGTATGGAATGGAATTTTTATTGCTCTGCTTTTCAGTAACGGATACTGTGCATCAAATCTGCTCCACGCACAACGATTGTATAACATACGTTTCGTTTATTATTAAGTAGGATGATTCAAATAGCTGCAGATCAACATTAAACTAAAATTACGAAGCCAACGTAAACCGCGTGTATCTTATGCCAGGATGCGAAACAACCCTTTGAGATACGAAAACTATCATTTCATCCCTTTTCGTATTGTCTCCGTGATTGCGCGGTGGTTAACGTGTTTGCTTATTAAACTTAGGGATCCGTGAAGTGATCTAGATTTGAAACCGATGTAGTCACACTGCGTTTCAAGCTGCGAGGGGCTGGGGGCCTGAAGCAATACTTAACGAAAACAGCGTACGTAAAATTCAAATACATTTATTTATTGTTTTGTATTCTATTATCAACCGAATCCATAAATGAGTTATGACATTTCCGAATATCGAAATATTTTTTGCGTGATACCGAATCATACTTATCCGATGTAAACACTGACACTGTTACAGGTAATAACCCTTTTTAAGAGCCCCTATAACTATGGGTGACACACCTGGGGGGAGACAGGACAGCATTGTTCAGTTTAGGTAAACTTTCCAGTTATTTACTCGCTTCGTAAGAGTTCTATAGATATTTGGCCATTTCAGTTAAAGAGGCATTACTATTTATTAATACCAACTGTTAAATCAAACTGTATGTAATACGTAACAGTAACAATAATCGCATCGTGTATTCCCAAGCAGAAAGCGTCTGGTATTTTAGAACGGTATTATGCCTCTGCGAACAGCACTTCCATTCGTATATATCGTGATAAGTAGTGCAACAGCAAGCATCAGTAAATAACATCGCGGTTATTGCGGATAGTGTTTTCACAAAAGGCCCAGTCAGCGTCGTCAGAATCATGTGTCCATTTGGACGGCCGCTAGCTCATTAGTAGATCTATCTCATGTCAAGTGATTCTGATCCATAAGCACTTAACCCATTTATTTCACGATTGCAATCAGTGTAATGGTTACGATTACAAGAGGAACTGCATGCACTTCTAAGATCATTATAACCAATCGGTTGGAAGTCCTAAATGAAGCGTCATATTATAACCAGTATTCTCGTAGGAGAGTCATACTAATAGCGCCATGTTATCTAATGAAATAACGACCGGGAAATGCACGTTGGTTGACTGTGTGGATGTTCTCTACTTGATGCAGAATATCTAATAGGCTGACGTTTACCTCATTATAGTAGATTAAATTGTTATTTGCTGTTTTATTCGTTTTGCTGGAAAAGGCTACTTTTATTGGACCATTCTGGTTTTCTGCTTTGATTCGATTGTACTAGTTATTCTTTTTTTTTCGTTTCGTGTTTTTTTTTGCTGAATAATTCCGGCAGACGATGCAGCATCTGCAGTGATTGCCGACTAAGAGATCGGTACTTGTTCAACTTATGACTCTGCAATAAATATAGTGCTTTGGGTTTTGATCAATTCGTCGGTTACTATCAGCCAAGTAGTGGTGTCTAACCTATAATCATCGGTGACGACATTCTAATTAACAAATACACAAATCACTAAGTTTAACACCTGGTTTTAACCCCTGTTACGGCTGAAAGATTCCACGCACATAACTATCGTACATATAGGTACATAAACTAACGACACACCAAATCGCTATGCATTTTATAAAGCTGGAGCAGCCTAGCTTTTTGCTTCAGCACACAGTCGTACGCAACAGAATCGGCTGTCTACATTTTCAGCAGAATGACTTCCCACCAACTAGGTTGAGCGTGCAAGTGCTCTTACATTGTCGTGTCCTTGCTTTCACTTTGTACCAATATTAAACGTGTACTATCTAGATACTAGTTCGATCTTAACAAAAAATCAACAAATGATTAAAGTAATTATTAAACACCCATTATGACTATTAGCACCACAAGCAGTACTACCGGCAAACAGAGGATCCTTGATAGTTGTTATAATCTAATTCCGCTTTCACTAGTTACTACCAGCGCTTCTGTCGGTGTGGGTGCAGCGCTTCGAAACAGAAGACCCAGCAGTCAGAAGACGTCGTGATCGAGCTCACTGACACGTCCGCAGCTGTAGTTTATGCTTTCCGTTTTACGGTTGCTAGCCACCACGACGTCCGTAATGTTGCCATGTTATCGATTACGATCGGCCATCGTCTAACATTGCTTTACTGGGCAGGGAACGCTCAAGGCGATCTAAAACGTTGTCTCTCTTGGTCGATGTTTGTCCCATTTTCTCATGCAGCAGCAGCAACAGCAGCACCGGGCGACTAGTTGCAGTGTCGCCAGAGCACTGCCATCACCATCATACGTACGATCTAACTTGTGAGAACCCGCATGCGCAACGCGGTGAATAAGAAGAGACCGCGAAGGCACAAGAAATGAGGACCGATGGGATTGCTTGATGCCTGACAAAGGAAAACAGCCGGCCAACCGACAATGGTGGCCAGGAAAGGATGGAACGAATAGTGGTCGATCAGCTGCTGGAATTCGATCAGCAATTTACAATAGCTACATAATGCAATGTGAGGTGAATGTGATCAAAACTTCTTTTACCTATTTTTCTCTCTTCTTTGTGCCAATATTTTTAGCAGATGCAGAATAACGTCTGGGAGTCACAAAGGCAAAGCGCCGTTAGGCGGGCCATTAAGCCACAAGTAACCAGCTGTTGACGTACTAGTATTATCGTTGCAATACGATGTTTCGTTTCTTAAAATTATAATGTCTTTGCCATAAACACCTTATATAAATTCGTGCAGACGTAAAATGTTTTTCATTTAAAACTTTCCATAGTCACAGAGTCAGTCAGTCTGTATTGGCCTGGAGTTCGTTTTGGAACGGATTCTTACTCCAATGAGGACGTCAATCTCAGGATGAAATTAACAGGTGTAGGTCTACTCTACGAACAGCAAACACAAAACAATCTACACGTGATATTGCCTCAGCTTCGTGGTCATTTTAGGTTTAGTTAAATACCCTAGTTGAGGATACGTCTTTTTATTTAATAAATGGCATTGGAAAAGCTCTTAATTTAGTTAGAGGTACAAAATGCATTGCAAACAAAAAAGTGAAACATATTAGTCTCAGAATGGATGGCTAACAATAATCGTAATTATTTATTAAAATGCTCTGTGCTTAGTGCAAATGAAGTGCTGCTGCACCTTATGTTAAAGTAACAATTCGGTAAGTTGTAAAGCCTAAGTTGGCTGGCATAGCTTACGCGGCAGACTTGAAATTGCCCATGCGCTAAGTAACAAAGAAACGACTTTCACTTGTCGTGTTGACGCAGCAAGACATCAGTGCTTCCACGTTTCGGCTCGGTGACGTCACCTCCATCCGATACGCGGTAAGCTTTTGCGGCGCCATCGTTATTACCGGTTCAGTTGTTTCTTTGACAACGATTCGTTTGTCGTACAGTAATTACCACTGAACGCCCCAGTATGGGTATATATCAGTAATTAATCCTTATATTTTCTGATTTCATCTCATTCGAAGAATAAAAAATAAAGCGAGCTAAAATAGAAGTAAAAACATAAGAGGAAGCAGAGACTAGAACATGTTCACATGTTCGGAAAACAGGGTTACGACACATGTTATACAGAAAAGTAAAAGAGAACGCGTTTTCATTGTTAGAAATCGCTATTGCAGAGTTGAGGTGAACGTACTCAAATGTAGCATTGTTCATATAGAATATTTCTCTTTGTTTCATAAAACGAATAACACTTTGGCTTTTTTTCATATATGTTTTGCCATGTCCTTTTTGCCCCCTGGTTGACTTTGCGCTCTGCATGGCCCGAATTGTTTCTTGCACTCGAATCAGATCGGGCATGTGCAAAATTGCTAAAGCCCATGCTCACAGGCACAGTTGTCTGTATTTAAATGATTAGAGTAGACCAGTTTAATATAAACAAAAAGGCTGTAACTAAACGGGTTGCATCTAGCTACTCGCTCACCATAAGGTACCAAGTCTACCATCTTGAATAGGAAACATAATCTTCTCCATTATTGAGTTCCATAATAAAGTAGGTACTTTTTCTATTTGTATTGATATATTTGGGTTCGAGTGAATTAAGACTGCACGATTATGAAGATTAGCTCACGACCTTGCCTGTATGAAAGTAGAAGCAAAGCAACTGATAGACGACAACGCAAATTCTCATAGAATCCAGGGAATAAAAAAATTATTGTGAATCCGCGCAACTAAGTAAATCTTTGCTGCGTTAGGGTCCACATTATATATATATATATATATATATATATATAACGTATGGACGACGACGTATTCTTTTCATAGTATTTGAAATAAGCTCATAAAGGGACTTTGAGATATACCCTTACGTATAGCATCGTTGCTATGACACGCAGGCGTTCCGTTCTCTGATGCTGCCTGATAACACGTTATTCTGTTCCAGTCTACTTTGTGAAGCTTCTCCGCGCCATCCCTATTAGTGAATAGAAGCGATAAAATACTTTATGCATCCCATCATGTCGATGAAGAGTGCCTGTGTTTGTGCTACTGCGTACATGCCTGTCTGTCTGTCTGTCGGTTCGTCCATCGGTACGTGTGCGCGTGCACAAGTATGTGCTACGGACAGAACGAATCGAATCAGTGTAACAAGAGCAAAGAGACTCTTGTCCCACTTCTGCAGCGGCGACTTGGTCTTCTGACGCCGTCGATTGCCACTCTTGCTACGGCACTTTGTTCGGTAGTGGCACTGGCGTCTGTTTGCTGGTCGACCATTACACGACTGGCCGGTTGTGCACTCTTTCTGCCGGTTCTGGTTTCAACGCCAGATCTCGCTGCCACTGGCATCGTCGCCGACGTCGCCGTCGTCAAGCTGCATTGCACGGTCTGTTTTTCCTTCTGGCTTTTTTGCTCCCTGATGGTTTTCTTTTACGGGTCCTTCGCAGATAGCTTCTGCCGCGGCCATCGCTGCTGCTAATAAAGAAACAACAGCGGTTTCTCCGTTTTCCCGCTCGTCGTCTACGTCGTTTCTGGATCTACCACCGGTTCGTTCCGCCGACACCGCCAACACCCCTCACTCGCGCTACTTGTCCTGACGCTCTATATGTCTGTAGGCTGGGGTGTGCGCATCCGTGGTTCGGCCGTTGTTGCTGGTGATCGCTTGCTTGCCATCGCCCAACATCGCTGACGACATCGAAAGAGCCGGGTCAGTGCGCCAGAAGAACCGTCCCCGCATTCGATCGCTAGCACGGGGACAGTTACATTCTTCGGCTGGAGCAACTGTACTCAACAGCAGACGCGGCACACTGCGTAGCACTGCTCCCCAAACAGGTAAGTACTTTTATGACGATTTCGTACTGTTACGATGGTCACATGGGCAGCGGATACGCTAGTGAATCTAAAGAAGCGCAATGGAATCCGAAAAACGCGCGAGTCTCCTAGTACCGCCGGATACAGACCTATGAAATACGTGCAGTTCACTAGTTAGTTAGTGTACGTCAGCAAATTGTGGGCTGTGTGCGGAGAGCCTTTTTGAAGTTGTTTGACACAACTGGTAATGGAAGAACCTGAAAGCGCATTTGACCGTTGTCGCTATGTGGATGCTTTCATAATGGATTATTTGCCGCATTAACTTGCTCGTCTTCTGAGCAAGAAGAATGTGTAGATAGGGCGCATACTGACTGCCAACTGGGTGAGGAGTGCGCGAGTCACATTAATTGATGAATGTGCAGCTGTCAATGTGAACACCGACTTTGGGATGCTTCACATTGGATACCAGATAAAGGGAAATGTTACAGTTCAAACACGTCATAAGTTGAATGAATTTTTATAATAATGTGATATTCATAAACGTGTCCATTAAATTCTAAGCATAGGCAGATTTTTCTTTTAAAACAGGCCAGACATTACGCGCCTCGCATCTGTCTATCCAATTGTTCTGTTCAAGCTACAATGTAGCTTGTTTGCAAGCACAGTACTATTGTTAAGTATACTGCCAATGCTAGTCAGTCCAATATAACTGTCTAGACAACTTTTTAACTAAATTGGATTTAAAAGAGAAAAAAAGCCTTTAAGCGACCTGCTATCGGATTGGCTATCCACCCTAATGTAAAGAAAATCTTATCCTGCTAACAGATAGCAAATAGGGAGGCTTTGTGCTAATGAAACCTATTCGAGTACCTATTCGACACTAACAAAAAAGTTTAGCAGCTGGTCACTTTACAAATTCGCGGTTTATTAGACTCCACAGTTCCAGAAGTTAGAGGACAGAAGCTGTCAAGAAAATCAGGCATTTCCCGAAGAAGTCTACTTCCGAGTCACTGCATATTTTGCACAAATCTATATCTATCCGACAAGTTCTTTGTGTCAAAAGAGTGCAACATACAAGGTGTTTATCCTTCTCACCAGCTGACCTAGAACGATTACTTTTGGGGGAACTGAAATCGAACTTTTTAACTTAGAACTGATACTTTTATTAACTTAATTTAACCTGTTAACCGTGGAAGGCAAAGAAAGTCAACATGGTCAAAAATTGAAATATATTTTTAGTACAAGAGTGCATTCTGCTAGGTCATAACTAATGGCATTAGCATATTTACGGCTAGAGCCACAACGGAGTCTCACCAGAGTATCACATTAATCTTTCAATATCGGAGATAAACCATTTTTTGGATATAACATGTATTATAATTTAAGTGTTATTAACCGTTTTTTTTTTATTATAGGTATTTTGCTAAGAGTAAGATAGATTACCTACCGGAATCTGATGCTGGCCATCTTCACAATTTTTATTGTCTAAACAACTCGACAATGCTGGCGCTATCGAAATGTCATGCTGAAAACTATAATGAAGTCAATCATTAGCTATATTTTTTTACTACATGAGAATCACCGTATGATCGATAATAACTTTTATAATTCCGATACATGAAGATTCTGTAAAGCTGTTTTTCAAGCAATGTTCATGAAAATGAATTAAAACTGATGTAAAAACTACTTTGTTATGTAAATTTTTCACTAAACAATTTTGTGTTGTATGCCGCCGCGGAGACTCCACGCAGGGCGCGTTAGCAGTCGACTTAAATATATTTAAACATTCTTCATGACAGACTTGATCAAGGAAATACATCAGGCAGAATGTTTAAAAATTAAGCTTTAATATACTGCTATCGTTACTATTTCTTATAGACCATCATTAGAGAACTTTAAAAAAAATTAGAAAAGAACAATCCTTTGTAAAAGTTTTTTGGCCTATTTGGGCACCACTTTTCAACCCCAGTCAACTCACGTTTCTACGGTATCTACAGCAAACAGCATTTTTAATTAAGAGCACAGATTTGTTTAACTGATATGGATAACCAATTAACAAAGAATAATCTTGCGTCTCCTTGAGAACGTACATACTTCACGAAAGAACCAGATAAGCTTAACGTTATCAGTCCATAACCTTTAATAGCAGTATCGAAAACCACGTCTTCGTCGGTCTATCATAGTTGGTACACTGCAAGTTGCTAAAAAAGGGCGGAAGAGACAAACAGCATTTCCATTGATCATTGTTAGCGAACTACAGGCTTCAAATCTGTTCTTCCATTTTGTAAAGTTCCAATATTATAGTTTAGTGTAGTTTATCTTTGATCGAATCACACCTGACGTATAGTAAATGTCGTGACCTTGTATTATATTCTAATATGTGACGATAACTATTTCTTAATATCTATGCTCAACTTAACCAGTAAGGCTCACTCGAAGCTTTGTTACCAAGTGCAATGATTTTACGGTGTTCTCTAAAAAGTCGCTCATTACTCAGCCTAACTATTAAAGTGCAACAAGCGTGGGAAGTTACTAAATAATAGAAAGGCAAGCTAAGAATGTGTCCAAGGGTACCATTTATGCATCTACTAGTCTATAATTTGGGCAGACACAAGATGTACACCGCCCAATTTTGACCTGTACCGCAATTAGATACGATAGAAGCACGCAAAGGTTGCCCCTAACGGATCGATTTAGATAGGTGGAATTTAAACCGAGTACCCCAAACCTTTAATGATGTCTAAAATTATGATTTAACACATTAATTTTAAAGATGTCTTTGTGACTTTGTAAACATACTTACACGTCGTGAGCCATCATCCGGGGACTTTCTCGATACGGCTTTTTTAGTCATTTTGTTCAACTTGGATGTTTGCCACAGTTAACAGTAGAATTATATATGAAGAAGGCTATTCTCTATTCCACCGCTAATCACGGTTAATTGAGAGACGATATTAAGCTTTTCATCGAGTAAAGTGCATCATATTAATATAAAAAGCAACATCAGATACTGTAAAAATCCTATAATTTTAGGCGAAGCAATCTAATCCTACCGACATAGCATATGGATGGATCTTGACGTCAACACTGTTTTTCCCAAATTATTGTTTAGTCAAACGGGCCACTTCTTTTTGATGCTCTGTATTGACCACAACTCCATTGTGTTATTTAAGCCAATTTGCCAATCGACAAGCCGACAATGAGCGGCTCCTGGCGAATAAACAGTGAAAACTCTCCGGCTTTCTCATCGGGCTCGATTATGTTAATGTCCGCCCGCTACACAAAAGAAGATTAACTCAAGTAAGCACGACCAACGCGGACTAATCTTAACTGTACTAGTACTGCCACTAGTGGTAATAGTAAACTGTCCAGATAGACACGCTATGCAAAGTGAAGCAGCGTAACTTTTTGAGAAGCAGAGAAGATCCGGGAGGCATGCACGCAGACAGTTTTACTTGTTGGCCAATGGCTTCGCTCGCCGGAATTTTTGCTCCCATTACTTGCGGTATTGGGTCAAGCGCAAATTGTGACTGGAGCGGTTCTTCACGTAACGCTGGTAGATGGGTGTCGTTGTAGGGTGACCACCATAACTGATAGCGGCATCACCGCGTCGGATGAGTTCACGTTGGCTCATAGGACATACAGGTCAACAATAGCAGCAGTACCGCGTGTTTTGCTCATCGTCATAACATTGTGCTGGATGCTTCGACAAACTTCAAAGGGCGTTTCTTACCAGTTTCTCTCTCATTCAAGCGCAATTCAATAGTGAATTTAAAGAATGAGACATCTTGAAGCAAAACCAGATGCAATTTTGCAAATGGTAGACGTTAGATTATCTGCGTCTTCATTCGTTATACTACAACAGAAGCAGAAACAACCATCGTCGCCTCAATAACGAGAACGTTACGCGAACGACGCCTGTGCTAAGTTGTGAGGATTAAGTACACTTTATACCAATTCCGTTTAGCGCCGAAAGAGAAAGTGACACTGGTGTATCATTACAGTTTTCAGTTGTTGAGATGAGGGCGTACGTAACACTGTTCGTGGGGGTCACTCTATTAGCTGCAACGGTGACCGCAGCTGGTGAAGAGGAATTAGCCAGCGCACGGGAGACTAAATCTGTCAAGGTAGCCCGTTCTCCACGAATCGAGGAACGTCGTTACAAATTTCATAATTCTATGAACAAGAACTCTGTCGGTGCAAGCTCGGAGGCCGTAGAACTCAAGGCGCAACAGGTACAAAAGACAAAGCAGATACAATAATAGATGTGGATGTAAATTGTCTCATACGATATTCTATTCTCATTTCATCAAAGGAATCAATTATTTACTTCATAGGGGAATTTGGTTAGCGAATTAAGAAAACAAAGCGTTGGTTTATCTGAGAGACTTTACCAAGTGTAGTGGGGAAATTACTCCGTTAGATACATTTGCCGTGATGTGCATTCCACTGTTTGTGTGGATTCCACTGAAATAGATTGCGTATAGACCATACAGTTGACATTCTTATGAGGTAATATGTGATGTGTCACGACGTCTTCGTTTTCTTTGCATGGGCAGGAGGTGAGCAAGTTTATGAATACGCGCAACCTGATTAAGACGGCTATCAAACTAGTCTTTGGTTCCGATGAAGAGAGCGCAGCCACGTCTCGGCAAATTTTGAACCTCTTAGTCACAGTTCTTGATATGGTGAAGACAACGTTTGGTGCTCGAGCTCGTGCTGCTCACCAGGGCCGTGGACTCAATGGGGCCCTTGATGATATCACAATCGCGGGAGCATCAATGATGAAGGGCCTCCTAAAATCAGCCATGGCAAAGGACGAGAACTGCATGCAACGCTTTTTGTGTGAGGCTTCAAAGGATGCTGTGAAAGAAGGACATGAACTCGGTTACCTCGTTGCCCAGTTTGGAGGGTAGGTAACCCTTGTTTAGGGAACCGAACGTAGTGAAAGTACCTAGTAAACCTTATCGTAGTGAGAACATACCGTAAAACTGACACCGTCCGTAACATTTTATCCACTAATTCAAACAATAGCTTAGAAAAAAAAAAGAAAGTTGTTCTTGGAATAAATCAATGCGTGAAGAACAAAATATCAATAAAGACATAATTTTTTTGTTCATCTGTACGTCTTTCAGATATGCCGCTAGCTACGCGCTGGAGCGCCAGAAAAATTTAAAATTCGATTTTAGCTACAACGCGACTCGTAGTGGCCGCTCCGGTGATGACTGCTTTACACTTTACCAAACGTGTAACGAGGCGGTTTAGAATGATCTGCATGACCTATAATGTTAGCTAATTCGTCAATGGAGTTGATGATAATGAATGTAGTAGAGGTTGCACAGCGAAAGTAGTTCGCACATACAAGCTGTCAGTCGCTATTCCTGAGAAAACAGTTTTATCGTTAGTTTTTACCAAACTACCCGATTGTATAAGACTGGCAGTACTTCTCATCGCTGTGAGCAGCCTTTTAGAGTCTTAATCGTCGAAACTATTCATTTCCGATTTTTATGTACCGACAACTGAGATACAATAAGTAAGCGCAAACTCCAAAATTAAAAAAAAATATAAAAACCATCCATTGCAAATATCAAGTCATCTCTTCACATACCAGTCAATCCTAATGACTACCCTATTTATTGCTCCATTTCACAACTTCATTTTATTTACAAGGAGGAAGGAAAAGAAGATGCAGACATATATCTTAATTATTTTAACGGATGCTGCGATACAAACGACGAAAAAATAAAAGATGAAAAATGAAACGTACGGCAATGTCTCACTTCCTTAAATTATTGGCATGTGTGTGTTCTTCTATGCTTGGGTTATCTATTACTACATATATACAACTACTTCTCATAAGGTTCAATACTAACATTTTTTAAGGGCCAAAAAAGTAAGTTTTCTCAACGTTTACTGTCTGACAATAAAATACCTCAAAGCTTCTAACTTACCCGGTCAGAAATACTATGGCATTAACTGTCTTTGTCATCTTTACAACGTCGAATAGATTCACCTATGGAAATTCAAAATAAACAGTCCATCCACTGCCTCTAAGTGTGAATTAAAGTAGCAATGAAATAGGATAGTAGCATTACATTACAAAACGCGACAGCAATGGCGTTTACCACCATTAGAAAAAATTCCAGTATACCAAAAAAAACAAGAAGAATGTTATACTTTTACGTACAAAACTATTAGGAAGATAATAGCATCGATTAGAATGTTATCTATATAATCGAAAATTTATTACTTATACACCAGTTTGATTTTTACTTGATGTGATTGAATTTACAATTGTGGATATGTTACATATATAATAATCTTCGTTATATCATTGCTATAGTTACCAAGTATTTTTTTTGCGCCTTCTACTTCCATCCCTTGGTTGTTTTGCCTTGAGGCACCGTCACTGATACGGTCCCATTTAATGTCAAGCAACAAACTAAATCATTTTAGGTAAATAGAACTGTCAGTTCGGTAGGTTCCAATTCCATACATGAAAATCTTACCGTATGTGCATTAGGTGTAATTAGATGAATTGCTTGCAAATAGAGTTAGAATCTCGAAGTAGAGCATGCCTCAATAAATGTATGTACTCTCTCTGTATTTTACGATATGAAACGACTGATCTAGCAACATCTAATTTTTGTCACTGTAGTCTGAGAAATGCAGAAATTCAATTAATTCATCGAGTTAAGCTTCGTTCTTCTATACACAGTAGCTAAATGTCGACCGCCTCCTGTGATCAGAACACAGAAAAAGTTACAACTCCTGGATTATGAGTAATTTGTATCGTTTCATACACAACCCATGTTTTTACAAGTACCATTTTGAATTAAACTTTGTTGAGTTCTGTCGTAAACATTTACCCCGTTACCTGATCGCGTTTACTCCATTGTATTAGACGACAGCCTTCGTCGCCCATCCATACTGGCGCTAGAGGCCTCAGGCTCTAAAGATGAGAGACACGAACAGTATTGTTATACTTTTCGCTTGTCTTCCGGCGGATTTTTAGACCACCAAAGACTGTTATATCAACACTGCTTTTACAGCTTATCTTACTGTTATCATTGCGCTGTCATTGGACTAGACAAGATCGTCGATCTATAGACTGCAAATAGCCATAGCAACGCCGTTACAATAGTGCCGCACTGCCTGAAGTCGTATTACAATTCGATTGTAATACTGTCACTGCTTACTTATACAATACTGATGTACCGTATGTATCCAGTAGTTGCTTTTCAGACAATGGAATATATTGAGTGGAGTGCTAGATGTATAACAGCATTCTCAGCTTTCTAACAGTAGTGATAAATAGCCTACCAAGGAGACGATTATAATAAAAGGTAAAAAACCCCACCATTTGTCAGTCAGCATAACTTGTATCCTTTAAAATATCACCTATAAGGAGCCGACCCCTATTCCGCATTAACAATAACGCAAGCCGTCTTCAGAGTAGCCATTTTGTGAAAGCAACTTCCTTGTACGTTATCTGTGGTTTTCGACGTGAGGGGCTTGTTGTCCAGTTTGCATCGTTACCCTGCATAAGCGGTGTTGGTGGCCAGTCAACAAAGCAGACGGACCACTCGGGAACTCAGAAATGCCGCAATCTGACTTTCTATTGAAGCGATGACCGTCTACTACTCTCTGATCGTCGTGCAAAGATCAGGCCCAATCTCCGAACCTGTCCACCTGCACAGTGGAATGCAGCTCCAGCGCAGAAGAGTGTTATCAACGTGATGGGAGCCAGTGAGGCCACGTATACCTCGCCCGCGTTGAAGAGTGTCTGCGCGGAAAGAGAAAAGAAAAACATTAAATAACATGATTAGCAACTATTCAATTACCGTACGTATTGTAAGTGCTATATATGTTTGTACCGCGTATTTTTATGTTCCAGGATACAAAAAAGCTAGGCATAGAAAGAAAGGCAGACTTACAACCAACGAACAAGTCAGATGCAGCAGGATTGTCGCACAAGCCAGAAAGATATTTTTTGTATCGTATGCGTGGAACAACATCACGCCCCAAGCGGTGTTCAGAAATATGAAAAGGCATGTTGTAAACGACGAAGCCAGGACGAACCATTCAGACTGGCCGAATAATCCGACGGAAGCTGGTCCCCCGATTTCTGCCAATACATTCATGAGCGAGAACCCTCCGGAAATGGCGCCAAAGCCGAGGCCGGACACTGAAATGATCAATGGTTTCCAATAGTTATCACTCGATTCAGTCTTGTTATACCAGAGTAAAAAAAAGAAGCAACGTATCATGTAACTTATTATCACGTAACTTATTAATTTTATGTTTATCATAATAGCGTAGCGATTTAAAAAAAATAGATCAGGTCAGATAAGTAAAAATAATATGACAGGCTGATTATAGCCGGAAAAAAATTTAAAGAAATTGTATACAAAATGCGTGCTTGACGCATGTGACAAATGAAACTGAATAACTGCCTATGCGCTTACCATAAGCAAGTGTTTGCCTAGAATCTGACACGACATTTCCGTCCGTACCAACTTCTGTGACCTTCTTTAAGCCAACTTCAGCTTTTCGCAAGATTTTATAGAATAAATAGCGAAATAATTCTTGAAATAGAACCGCCTCAATTACGCCGAAGGGAACTAGTTTGCTAATATCTGACGGCCGGAATATTGCCACCGTGCAACACCACAAAATCGACGAATGTAACAACGATACTAGCCAGAAGAATGCTCTGTAACGGAGACACGATAGAAATGCGCGGCGAAACAAAAGATTACGAAGGTGCTGTATTGTTCAGTATTTTGTAGGAAGTTGAGAACGGTATTTAAAATACCGAAATATTCGTTACTCGACACAAAACACTGCGGTATTTTGCAACACTTCTTTGAATGATAGGATAGCTTTTGAGAGCTTTGGTTTTTTATTGACTAAATAGGCTAGATTGGATTGTTGGTATGTTAGCTGCAAACACATCAGGCTGAGTTAGAAGCATGATAAGAAGTAAATGGATTCCACCCTTTTAAAGCACTGGGTCACTAAGAACTGATCATCTTCTTTCGTTAAAGGTTAAAGTAGCAATTCTCTGCGGTTAAAAAAACGTGAATTAACATTAACAAGAAAATTTAAGATGCAGTGAAAATAAATGTAAAGCGAATGGTCTCTACTTATAATAACTTGTTTCTATCTGTTAAGAGACTTTTTTTTTCACCTTTTTTAAATTTTATTTGTTACAGTTAGAGGAGATATAGCGGCTTCTTACTCGTCTTTTGAAGCTTTATATATATTCATATTATTTGTTATTATTCCAAACGAAATGCTCAATATTGTTTTCTGGTGTCTTATTTGAGTGATTGGCTTAGCCGTCCCTATAAGACTGCACTGCACAATAGCTTGCGGTTGCTTTAATAAGTGAGTGAATCATGAAAGCCCAGCCGGCCTCTGGATGCATTAATTTCAAAACCAACGACTATTTACCATGGTATCCATACATGTTGCCATTTTTTGTTTATTAGTACTTTTATTAATAATGATGTAGTGTTATCATACTTCCTTTTTTCTATAGGGCAGCAGAAGTGTAATGCTTATTTTATAGATTGATACTGAATACGTGTTCGAATTGACCATATCGTATAATGCTCGTCTATCCAGTATGTCGTAATGGATACGACTGCAAATACATTCACTCTGCTATAATTTTCTGAAACGATGCTCACAGCTAGATCTAGCTAGAATAACTTACTGGAAGTGGCACAGTAATAGCGATAGAAAATACTTACGCAGTTATGAAGATAATCACTCGGATAGGGCACGAAGCAATCGTAATGCAGAACATAGAAAACGACGGCCCAAAAGCCACCAGACTGCAGCCAACAAACTCCGCTAACGCCATTTCTGCATACGAAGCAGCAGGCGCGGCGAAGCTCAACAGTGTAGAAGTCAATCAAACACTTAAACCTAAGGCACAGTCCAAAAGTACAGTTAGTATTTTTTTCTTTCTTTCGTTAATATTTAACTTCACTACACTGATATACTGTTGCGGTTTCAGTGGGCTGTCATAACATGACAAAAGCGGATACGTCGTCTGCTATTTTGGGTGGCTTACCATCTGTTCAGCTCCGTTGATTTGGACGGCGGTGTAATCATTTGGTGCGTACTACCGAGGAGCAGTGTATTATGAAATTTGTGCGGAAAGGGAAGGAGAGAAGTAGAATCAGAGTATAGCTATATATATATAGGCATACGAATTCAAGGAACGTGCTGTATATTTTTGTTGAATAGTAATTTGTGCGAGTCTAGTTATAGTAAAAGTGTTCTAAAGTAACATGTGCTTTCAACCAGAATAAAGAGCAATATAGTTTTGAAGCTGCTACCTATATTTACTTTTTGCGGTTCGAGATCCCCAATAGTTCAGAGATAAATATTCAATTTTCTTGAGCTAATCAATTACCAAGTAATCAATATAAATTGTAACAACATCTCATGCGATTCAGTGTACTGGTATAAGCCGAATAATATTATTAACATCATGCACGTAAGTTTAGTGATACGACCATGATTCGAACTGAAACATTCTCGAAATTATCTATGCTATGTAAGCTAGCAATTACAAACGCGAATTGACGTAAAACAATGGCGATTGCCTCAGATCATAAATTATTTTGCTATACATTATTAAACAAATCTATCATTTTCGTAGTCGTAAAATTTCGAAAACCGTGAAACCATTATCAATGGAGGCCAAAATATATACGGTCACAAAATATATTTATGGTACGATAATACATTATTACATGTTAACGGTATATGATCTAAATGTCAGCTAGATTTAGCTGCTGCGTACGATGTAACTCTAAGCAGCTTCTGAAGAGTGTCTCAATTTGTGTTTACTTTAGGAGCGTATGTAATTATGCAGACATCAAGGTCGGCGTATCAGGGCTGCATTACGTATCAAGAATTTTTCAGCGCTAAACACGGGCGATCTAGGTCCTCCAGGCGATATAAATTCGATCAAACCTATGACCCAATCGTAGCGGGTACAAAGGATGGGTCAGGAAATTTCATCAACGATAGAGCAATTATCCGGGCCTTTCAGGCAGGTATTTTTCTACTGATTGTTTTCCTCTTTATATGCTATTTTTTTTAAGGAATCGTTTATGTTATATTTTCAGTAAAGTACTTGAAGTTAATGCATTGCCAAGACGGTTTTTACCAAGAAATCCTTTATTTGTCGGAAGATACAAGAACAGCCACAGCTTAAAAATTTTAACTAAAAGTGTAGAGGCCACACGTGATACTTTCGTAGTATTCTGGAGTTTCATGTCAGTCTCTTTAAAGATGTCCTATTTTGCTCTAATTTTGCTATAATATTTACGTAAACTTAATCTGCAATTAGGCAAATTTTAGGCCGCCTGCGTTACAAAGTAACCCGAAAAAGACCGTATTTGTTGGAAGATTACAACTAACAGTGACTGAGGATCAAATCCAGCAGGTACTTAAGTATATTTTTTTCATTTTAATATACATATAATAATGAATAAATCCGCTAACTGAATTACTAGTTTTAGTAATCGACCGAATTACATACAGATGTTACAGAAATTTGTGTTTTAAATTGTCATAAAATCATTGTATTTTTCTAACGTCTTGTATTTGTACGTTTTCTTTGCATTGCGTGGTTGATTTTTAACGGACCACGATTCGATTCTCTTTCGATTTATTTTGTTTTCCGTTCATATCCATTAGCTCTTCTCGAAGTGCGGCACTATCAGACATATTCGCCTTGTGCACAATCTGATAACTGGTGCTTCACGTGGTTACGCATTCGTAACATTCAAGCACTCATCAGGTGTCCGAGCAGCAATGGAAATGCATGGAACCATCGTAGACGGTCGTTCGATCCTAGTCGAGCTTGAAGTGGGCAGGACACTTCCTGGCTGGAAACCACGGCGTCTTGGCGGGGGTTTCGGAGGCCGTAAGGAAAGCGGCCAAATGCGTTTTGGCGGAAGAGCTTGTCCTCATCAGGCCGCAAGAGTAACTGCTTCGGTTGGGGAACGTGTACGGCTGGACTCATTAGGTAGAACTACTCACGATCGCCCGTACTCTGCAGCGAAGAGAAGACGCAGAAATGATAGGAGTCAAAGTCGATCCCAGAAACGGAGCGCTCATTCACCTCTGCAAAAAAAACATTTTTCAAGTGGCTCAGTTACTTATCATGTAGAAGACCGATCGCCATCTTCAGGCCCAAGGAATTCCAGCAGCAAAAAAAAATAAAAGAGGATAAAAACTGCCCTCGAATTTTGATAGAAACTGTTGAGATCGAACATGAAATGATACAGTATGTGAGTTGCTAGAAATGATTCACCTATCAATCTATCACTATCGATGAATGTAGTCCTGTTCGTACCGATACTAGTTACCTAGACTTACTTCGAAATTATTGATAGATCTACACATCGGTAAATGCAAATACAGGGTGTGAAGCGGGTCATTCTATGGGAAACCGACAAAAAATAACGCCTTCAAAAATAACTTTATGTAATTTATTTTGTCCTGTAAATAGACATTTGAATAGCGACGTTTATTCTAGAATAAGGAAGGTAAACAGCTCCAAAAAAAAATTACTTTTTGCAAATCATAAACTATCGATCAGATTATGGCCTAAATTTGGCAGACTCTAATAACAATTTTCCTGCCTCTTAATTGTATCTTTATCAAAGGTCAAAGAACGGGCAAGTTGACAATATTGAATTACTCTGTTTTTTATACTCATTTATATTGATTCGACAAACTTTCATAATTATTTACCATAATATATAAAGAATGTACAAAATATTTTGAAGTTGGATGCGAATTTTGTTTTGGCGTGCGCAAAACAAAATGCCACCAACGTATAACCTTGAACGTTCATATGAACGAAGCAATAATTTACACTTTCATAATTCAATTACAGTGCACGCCTTTTGAGTTTTGATAAATCTAACTCTGCGAGTTCAGTTTTCGTCGGTTCGTCTGTTCGATTGGTGCAATTGTGATTGTATTATTTTTAATGAACACATCCCTGCTAAGATACTTACTAGCTTTCAAACATACAATAATTCTTTCATATCGGAATTTCAGCATTACATTTAACGTACAGACACACACATGCGACGTATGACTATATATATATATATATATATATATACGTCCTCTTCACATTTTTTAATGGAAATACCTGACCAAGTAGTTTTTTCCTTTTTCATGATAATGTTGTTGTTGTGAAAATGGTACTAGTTTTTAACCGACCCGGTCATAATATCGCTGAAATTCTACTAACAGCTACTGCTACTATTAGTGATACTAATACAACTGATATCCGTCGTTTAATACGCGATACGTCGAGACAAACCTCCTCTATACATCATCCAAGCCAATATTTCTCCTAGCTGTCTTGACTGTTATCAATTCTTTCGTTGTTTGTTGTAACTCTTTAAGAAGGCTGTTCCGTGCGTCCGCATATGAAACTCAAGGGCCTTTGCGTCCGCACAGCTGAGGTTGCACACTGGGCATTTTGGCCGTTGGGGTTTCTTATCAGCCGTTCCTCGAGCCTGTCGACCTTGGCTAGTCGTCGTAGCCGGCCCCTGGCCATGCGCACCCTGCGTATTGGTGCCGCTTAGGGTCTGGCCTTGAGCGGCTGAGCCGCTACCTGCGGCTCCCTCTTTTTTTGTAATCAACGCCACGAGTTCTGCGACCTGACGTAGGTGGTCGGTTACTACAGCAGCTTTTACCGCTTCATGGGCGGCCGGCAAATGTTCGCTGAGCGCGGTCTCGTCGGCGAGATATAAACCGCAATCTGGACATTGGTGCGCCGTCTCACCTTCACGGTGCAAACGAATATGCTGCAAGAACTGTACTCGATTGGTAGACTCGAAGGCGCACTTGACGCAGCGAAGCAGAGTCCCTTGAGCGAGGGTATACGCGGCCAGTTGTCCAGCCTTGTCTCCCTTCTCGGCTCCTGCCCCTCTGGCCTTTCCCTTGCTGTCCTTGACGCCAATAAGAGCAACGTCTATCCGACTGCGATCCTCGGCTGCGGCCATGACGTCGGCAAACAGGGGTTGCCATGCATGCTCCGCCTTGTGATGTTCGTGAATCGCCAGCTGGTCGGTGCGGAGCTGTCGGCAGACGTGACAGCGGAACACGAATTTGGCACAGGAAGACGTATGAATGGAGAGGAAGTGCTGGATTAGCATTTCGGTGTCGGCGAACACGCATGCTTCGCACATCGGACACTTGATCACCGACACTGGCGTAGCCGTCGCGTATGGGTGGCTCTTGCTGCTGTGGCTAACGAAGGCGGACGTGTCGCGAAACGCGAGCGAGCACAGCGAGCATTTGTACAACATTTGTACGTGAGCATCGGCAATGTGTGTAGCTAATTCGCGATCTCGGTCGTGAACGGCGGGACAGTTGGGACACTGAAAGACGAGGGCACGCTCACGATGATGGCATAGACCGTGCACATGTTGAAGGAACTGTTCGGGTGGGGTGTCGCGCGGCGCCATTTTGCCGCATTCCGGACAGACAAAGGGCGGGCTACCTGCGTGTAGGCGCCAATGAGCCTGTTGCGCACAGCGGGTTGGCATACGTTGGCCGCACGTCTGACATGCGAGCTTCAGTCCAGTAGAAAATGTCATGTGCGCTTCGAGCGAGTCGTCGGCGCAGAACACCTTGCATTCATGGCATGTACGTGTGGCGCGAATTAACTCTTCAGCGGTGAATTTGCCACTCGACGGCGCTAACGTATCGGGCGGAGCTCGTAAAGTCACTGGCAAACCGGCAATATGTGGTCGAACCTCAACGACAGTCACTCCCCATGCTACTTCTGTGTCGCACAATCGCATCACGCCTAGCACCTGGCACGGGTTGTAGCAGATGTGCACAATATTACACTTGAGGCAAGGAAGGCGCACCTCAATTGAGCGCCGCTGCAGGTGCTCCTCTAGTCCAGCCTCACTCATTAACTTCAGGCCGCACTGTGCACACTCAAATTTCTGGAACAGTAAAACAAAATGAGGGGCATACATTATATAATAGAACATATATTCCTTTACTCTGCTAATACCTTTATTTGGCTACAGTCCGTTTTAATATCTTTTCGCGATTTGTCACTCTATAACTAACGTTTGAAGATGCGGTAGCATCTCGTTCAGGAAGGATATACTATAGTAAAATTACTACGCAACTTGAGTATCTAACATTTAAGACAGAGAATTCGATTACAAATAGGCAGATTTTCAAATAAGCCATCATAGCAAATTGAATAATTGCATGTTGAGCACGTTGTCATTTCAACCGCCAAATTCGCACTGTAGTGGGAATGCTAGACTCGGAATCGTAAGCTTTCAGATTCAAAACCCAGTTTAAATTGTTTTTTTTTTTACTTAAATCAATTCAGCACACAAGTTCGACGTAGTATATATTGTGTTTCCTTATTCATATCTTTAATCTATCTTGCACGCTGGACTTTTTATCAAGTGCCAATAAAACTGCGCACGGGCGTTCCTGCAAGCTAGGCATTTAAATAATTGCTTAAGAGGTACCTTCGTAATCTATATCGTACTAAAGTTGCTGCTCACAGCGTTATGGGCACTGTGCTATTAACGGTGATATTGGTGCTGAAAGACTTCAACTCTGCGTAAAAACTAAAGTGTCGAAATTATACGCCAAGCTTAATAAAAGTGTATAAATTACCACATTTCAAATACATCATTAAGTTAGTGATCACTACCTTATCAGAAAGGCCAACTTGAGATTCCTTAACTTTACCAATGACGTTGGCCATCCAGTCTTCCTGATAGTCCATGAAAACCATAGGGGCTTCGGTACGTCCTGACACCTTATCTAGCTCCAACCCCTGAAGGGATTCATATGAAGCATAGCATTATTATTTTGGCAACAAGTAATTCGGAGAGTATCTGCATATACAAATATCAAAAGAAACATCCTGAAATATAAACAATGATCCACAAATACACAGGAAACAAAATAACAGCATATGTAAATATAAGGCTATTTAGCCGTTTTGCAGGAACCTACCTGTGCCGAGGTGCCCGGCTTGCCGACTACGGCGCTCATGTCGCCCACAGAGTGCCGCGTACGGGACAGTGTGTCCTCTAGCGACTACTGGACCAAAACAAAGCTCTTCCTACCCAGTTTTCCTAATTGCCGTCTAAAGTTCCTTAACACTGTTTGCAAATTTCCAGTCTAAACGTCTTCGAGACTTGTGCCCTTGGATTGGTTTCTTAAGTTTCTACTTGTGCTCTGCGGCTGTCGTTCTCTCTCGTTGTCGTCGTAGTCCTCTCGATCTGCAATCTTCTGAGCGTCCGTTGAGAGCTGGTCGATATGAAACGTGATGGAAATGATATCACATGTACGCAGAATAGCGTTGGTGAGTGTGCCGATTGGAGTAGCTAATTGCGACACGCCGAGATGCTCGAGACCAAGGTCTGCGGCACGAAGCACGCCTGTCACAGGTGGACCGTCCACCATACGAACGGAACAGGGGCAGGCCTCGCTAGCTAGCGAACTCAACGTGCGGAGAAAATGAGCTCGTAAACGAGATCGCGCCAGCACCTTAGCCGAATCGCTCATCCCAAGATCTGCAAGGATGGGCGTGTAATATACGGTAAAGAAAAACCGGAATATCCATGAATACGACATCGTCAATACGCGATATGCCGATGGAAATTTTTAGTAAAAGATGGTTATAAATTATGTTTGTAAATGAAACTACACAAAATCGACAATTTTACGCCTCTAAAGACAAATTTGAATAAAAAAAAAAGCAGAATTGAAAAAAATTGCACGGGGAGTACAGTTTATCAGATAGCATACGATAAAGAACGAACGATTAACTCCGAAACGCACACTTTGTATAGCACCGTCTTTAACTTATTTGAAATAGTACAATGCGATATACCATTCGTCCAATTACGTATTTCTGTCTTAAAACACGAATTCTCAGAGCATATGTTAAGAAGATTGTCGGACAAATTTTCAACGTACTCAACAGAAATGAAAACAGCTTTAAAGGACACAATAGAATTTTCTTTTTAAACTTGATTAGTGCGCATTTTGGGGCGCTTCGTTTCCGGACGCAAAGTATTGATTGCCAAAATACACAACATAAATACCACATGCACGCTGGCTTCTGCCCATATACGAGATAGGAGCCTATCAGAAGAATTCATACAGGTAATTCTAAAAATATTTCTTATTTTGCTAGCATCCTCTATGTCACTGACCTACTTTTTTGCATGGTGTTAATCAACTCGAACTTTTCTACATACACATTTATTATGCTTCATAGCATAAATCCTCAGTGTGTGTTCACGATAACCAGGAAGTTGTCAACAATGATTTGCGTGAGCCATTCAACAATCAGACAGCAATATCCAACAACACCGTATGTTTTATTTGTAAAGCGTAAACCTTTTTTTATTAATCGCACAGTATGCATATCTGTTATGTAGGCAATATATGCTTCTACGCAAATAAAACAAGGCTAGCCTAAACTATTCCACGCAGATATCAGTACCAATTTTCTAATGGAGCATTCGCCCTTCAGCGAGACGTGTTGTTGAAACAATTCACTTTTTATCTCATTTGCCTATTTTGTGCTTTCAGACGTTATCCTAAATTATCCACTTTGGTTTAATTAGGGGATTTATATTTTGTTGATCTCTAGATATGTTTAATTTGACGTAATTTCGTTATACACTGAAATATGTGAACACTAATAATATATAAATTTTAAAAAAATGATGTTGAGGGGTAGAAAAGCATAAATTTCGACGGTCGAAGTCCACGATCGAGACGTTCCCATTTTGCTCACCATTAAATTTTGTAGCGTTGAAAACTAGCACTCAACGAACAACACTTGAAAATTCACTTAAATTTCTATCCAATTGGAATTGTAAGAACCTCGATCTTTCGACTGCCAAGGACCGGAGTTTAGACGTCAACACCATGCGGGAATAGAGCTGAGCGAAATTCGTCACAGTCTGCAAGGATGCCATGCGCGCGAATTTTTAAATATGTCAACAAATAATATACTTTGAAAGCCTACTGTTTTCTAGCGGCAAAGTGAGATAGATCTATGAAGTGAGTGAAGTGTATGTGCCGTGTCCCATTATGGAATGTCTGACCTGACGTTCATGTGAGGTTCGCACCTGAATACTATATCCTATTACCATGATGGATAGGTTGCCAATCGAACAGCAAAAACTGATCGAAGAAAAACGCCTAAAAGCTCTAGCTCGACGAAATGTTACCAGAACAGCCCAACTAATACAGTAAGTACATAAGAGACTGGTAGCGCAAAACGCAAAACTTGTAGCAGCAAAGTCACGGTAATATAAACTTCTAGGTGTATTGGTCGAGTTACCGCGAGCGCTATCGATTTGTAGGCAGTTGTTTTGTCTGACCGTGTTCAGACGATAGTTGATCAAAGCCGAATCTCACTGCGGCGGGCAAATGCTAATTTTTTTGGCCTCATCAATCTGGTCAAATCTGGAGTGAGACAGTGAGCGAAGTCAGATTCATTAAAGAAATAAAGATTTACTGAAGTGGGTAATATCTGCAGGTTCCGATTTCACCCATTGAATTATGCGACCCGCTGTATGTGATGCACTTAGCGGGCTGCTAATATTGAAAGCATAATAACATTCATAATGGTAAGAAATAACTCATCACTGTATGAATGTGAACCTTCTATAAGCACATTAAAATTTTACACATTGTTCTTATGAGAACTCTTTAATTATTATCAATTATTTACAGCGAAAGTTATGGACTATCTATAAGTTATGAAATTGAATTCTGTTTTAGGTCAACTGTACGGGTGGAACAACGAGCAGGCAGCTCCAAACTCGGCAATGGGTTTTTTCATAATGGTGAGGATGTTGTGCCAAAGAAATTTAAGGAAACACCTGAAGATCTAGTTCATTGCATCGAGTGCAATAAAATGTTTCTCGAGTCTGTAGCACGGGTAAAGTTTAACTTGAACGTTTGTGATGAGTGCAGGTAAGTTTTGTTATATGTTCAACCGTTTACCATTTTGTTTTGTCAATGCAAATAGTAAAAATCATCACTTTTAGGGTATTTGGATGGGATACATGGTTGTCATATGCCACATGACACAGTAATTAAAACTCATCAGCCTTGTGAAAGACCGATTTGCATTGAAAAAAAGTCGCTTCCGTTTCTGATGAATAAAGACTATAACAATTTTTTCAAAAAAGCGCGTCTCGTCATAATTAGTTTTCTATGTTCTATGAGCTCAAATACCCCTGGCAGGAATATTTCGAAAACGCATTCTTATGCATATGCTTAATACTCATAAACTCACACATCACAAACTCAGGAAATCCAGTGAACGCTATAGGTTCGTGCCTCGTACAGAAGCGAAGACGCTCTTCAAACTAAAAGACTGCGATATTGATTCACGTCCTCCTCCATTGCCATTCCTCTCCAAACCAAACCCACACAGGTAGGCGACAGATCTCTGATGTGTGTATATATAAATAAGTAGAACATGTTTTGTGACCTTGTTTTATCATATTAGGCATTCACAAGTTCTGTTATTATACTTGAGCTTCGTTTATAAATTAGTTCCAAACAGCTCATTGCCTACCTATATGGTACGTATTAAATCCATTGTGAATAACCTTGATATATTACAGAGAACACGGTGCCCCTATGAAACTCTATTTGTTTAGCCAACTGGAGGAACGGGCCCTTCTCGTGTGGGGAAGTCTAGAAACCCTTGAAAAGGAACGTAATAAACGTAGGCAAGACGCTAACAAACGAAGAAAAGCAGGATTTGAAAAGAAGATTAAAGGTGAACTTTCGCACATGCTGTTCATTTAAAATGTGACACCTTAGTGGCCATGCAATATCGAGTCTGTCAAAAAATATCAACGGTGTGGTAAAAACCGATCCAGACTTTGATGAAGACATTTTAATTTGTTGAACTGATATTAACCCAGGTATAGCCTCGGTAGATTTTAGTTTCAGAAAAACTACCTCTGAGGTTAGAATTAGCTTTATTACAGCAATATCTCGAGTATTGCAGAAATAGGTAGCGCTATCTTCCGTTGTAATCAAACAATGAGACGTCGGAAAAAAACAGACTAATGAGACGAAAGTCGGAAAGAATATTTATTTATTCAAAGATGCAATATCCACTACAAATGATAATATTTATTTCGATCTTTCTGTCTGTGCTTCAGATATGCGACGTGAAATGAGAGCACAATCCTATCAACCTCCAACAAGTCATGAACACACTTACGGAACGGAGCAGGCGGACCCCGATCTAGAGGATGGATATTTCAAAGAATGTACTTCTTGCGGACATCGTCTCAGTTACGAAAAGATGTAACTGACGATGTCATTATTATCCATTAAGATTTATGTGACTACCATGATTCGATCGTAGTTATATTTTGATTACCCAACAAAACTAAAAATCAAAAAAGCAATCAGTGTTTCTGCATGAAAACTTCCTTTACTTAACCTAAATTTCCTAGGACTGTCTCCCTTTTTCCAGTCGAATCTAATATTGAAACGTTAGAAATGTCTGAGATGAATGACTGTATTAACGGCAGCAAATAATTTCTTGATAGCCGGCTAAAGAAGGAAACACTTTTTTTTTATAAGCTCAGTCTTATTTATAACTTTAATAGACTTTAAATAGTCTTAGCAAATATTAATTTATAACATTTTATTGTGTTACAAAAATATATAGTCAGTTATATGTGTAATAGTTTTGGCTATAGGTAGTTAGTGTTTTTCTTTAATATACTGCAGAGAAAAATCACATTACCTTATCGTAATGTAAGTAAAAAAAGCGGTGTAGTAAAACGCATGTAAGAATGTTAAAAAAACATGCAAATATTAATCAAACTCATTATGATTTGAATCGGTACTCTTTAGTAAATAGCTATGTTGCTATATTTTTATGTGCTAAACTCTTACAAATTAATTGTCTAAAAATAAATTAAAAATATTTATTTAAAGAAATCACTATTACGAACGGAATTAGACAATTTTACCTCAATAAATACTGTTTCAAGCTAGCAGATTTTCTAGAAAAAGTTACCAATTGTCCGATAAAAAATTATTCATAAGAAAATTCTGTGAATATTTTCGGTATACTGGGACTAGCACAGTCTACGGGTTTAATTTAGCAAAGAACATGTGAAATAAACATTTTTTTGGAGTTAGCTTATGTGAATCAAGTTAACTTTTTTAATTCCTCTGGATCCGTTTATTAGGTGTATGTGTTTTCCTAAATATCCATACGGAAATATAATGCACAAAAATAAAGAAGAAGAACTCACTTAGCCGTTTCTGTCTGATATACAAGACCTACTTAGTTAGGTAAATACTTGCGTTGCCAAATTTAACACTAAACTTGCAACCTATAGTTACTACTGGTAACACCTTTTACCAGAGAATTGTGCTGAATTTTTAGACGATCCGAGTACAGGCATGGTAACTTCCACTCAACAAAGAATTTCCTGGCAACGGTTCTTCGGAGTCTATCTTTGAACTCTTTCTAGCGAAAGCAGTTTATAGCAGTGTGGCCTCCGTGGGTGGCTTCAAGGAGCTCTCGTTCGTGACATTGAGACTGGAAGTTCAATCTGTAGAAACCAACCGTTAGAGCAGTGCTTTTTGCCTTGAATGGTCGCACACTAGTAAATGCTTGACGCTACACACTAGAACATGAAAATGTGGCACTTCAAAGATGAGAAGTGTCCGCTTATGTACAAACAAATACCTATTTTTATTCGAAGTTTAGAATCACAAATAGCCGTAATTGCTTAATAGTGTCTATCGGGACACAACTCCAAAGTGTGCACAAGTGAAGCGAACCTGGAAAGCGGAACCTGTCGAATTAGCGGGTGACCATTGTATAAAAACAAAGCATTTGCTATTGGCTATTGGTATCTTTGTGTGAAACTCGTATGGGATAAACGGGAATTTGCTACTAATTTGTCATGACGTAAGGGAAACTTGCTACCTAGTGGAAAATCCATGATCGTCTGTAAGTATATTACGCTCGCGTTGAATAGCAAAATTTAACTAAATACGGGCTGTTGAAAGCAATATTTTGCATTATTGGAATAACCTGAAATTGTACTTTCAACTCATGTTCAACCACTTGTTTTTAAATATACACCCTTAATTTCTAGGAAATGCGCCATGGAAAAATTGTTCTGTAATATTGAAACGTCGAAACTAGTCAGGCTTCAGAATCCTGATAACTGAGTGTAACCCTGTACCTAGACTGTGTGAAGTTCTACGTGAAAGGCTTCGCCTTGTTTCTCTTGTTATTAATGCTGAAACTACATTGCTCAAAAAGGTTTCTTCCAAGGCTATTAATACTACTATTTTTTTTCTTTCTTGACTATTTATACATTTTTTGTATATGATTCTATCAAGTCTGTGCAACTTGAACCATTGAATGTTAAATATTTTAGATACGGATGCAACAGTTTGAGTTACTTGTTGCACCAGCGTCACTAATAAGATGTGTTTTGAATTAAAGTGTAACATGAGTTCATATAAAATCGCTTTAAAGCTTATTTCGAGCAGCAGTGTTCAATCGATGCAATTGGGACAAAGCACGCAACTGAAAATATGTTTTCAATATAATTGTTTACAAGAAGAGTAATAAAATGTTTTTATTTAGTGCTGTACTGTTTTCCAGAAGTAAAACTACGACTAAAGCTTAAAGCAACATGATGTGTGTTAGTTAAATAGTTATTCAAGAACAAAACCACTTCAGGCCACCATGCATTACAGCGACGTGTTGAGTCTTAGATTAAGGAAAAAAAACATTTTTGTCTCTGCTAACGGTCTTGCTAACGTAAAAAGTCAGCAAGGCCGTATGAACGCCTGAAGTCGGGTACCCACATTCAGTAAGGATCCAAAACATGTCCTGCCGTAATTTCTCTCTTACACAAAGACGACGACAAGTCTTCGTAGAAATGAAAACTTACTTTTATGTTTGTTTAAAACGGCTCTAAAATTTTTTAAACACCATTTAGGACCAGGGCAATGGTAGATTAATGAAGCGTATTTTCCAGACGAAGAGTCAATATGGCGTTAAGTAAATTCTCAGTGAGTGATCGTCATATGTTATATACATCCTGATAGTGAATGGAATATCGTACATGTCGGCAGAACCTTTGTTTTTCAAGTGCCATTTTTCGGCTATGGGACATGCAGCGAAGCACTCCAGAAGTGCTTCAGATCCAGCTGGTAAAAAAGAAAAACGCGAGCGGAAGCATGACCCACAGACAGAATGGAACACTGCCGCCACGTTATCCTTCTAATTTAGCTTAAAAAATGAAATGCCACTATAACATACTGAATTTCTTAGTCGCTCTAGATAATACCATGATATCTCTAAGCAATTTTACTACAACCTGTATATTTGTTGGTTTTATTATTAAAACAGTTGTGACAACAATTAAATTATGGTTTAATAAAACTGAATTCACAGATGATTGTAAATATGAGTCGGTTGTGTACACTATAGCGTACTACTTTTATTTTAAGTTTTTATTGATTGAACTAAATGATCAATTAGCAAGTTTTATTTTTTGAATATAAATTAATAAAAAAAATATATAAAATGACGTAGATAGTTTGAAGCTGATGGTTTGTCGAACTCATTTCCCAATTCAATGGTCTAGTAAGTTAATTTACGTTCGGTTACGTGCGTTCTAGGCGTTTGCAATTTGAAGCACTATCTTTTACATACCGCTTTGCAACAAAGTTAAATTCCTCAATGATTAATATGCTTTCTGAATTGCATTTAGAAAGCGGAAGCAATTTCTGTGCTATTAAGACAGATCCTCTGGGGTAGCAGTCATATTTTTAAGCTTCGACTGCGAGAAGGTCTAATGTAGTAAAGACAATAACACAACATATTTGAAAGCTTAACTATCCGAGTGCAAAAACACGATCTAGTTTATTTAACCATTTGGAATCGTCAATGCTAAGAAAAGCGCTTCTTCTTTATCTTTATTTTTTTATGACATTACATTCAAACAGCAAAAGGGAAGCTTTCCACGAAGTCTAGCCTGTTCATTCTCAGATAATTTGACTGCTTAAAGTGAATTCATCCTAAGATCAACATTGAGCAGAGAAATTATTGGAGAAGTGTTGTTTTTGTAGGAATCTCTCGGTAATATCTACATTTGTTTAAAATAACAGCAGGTGACTTTCGCCTGCTCCAAAGGCTGTAAACATTTAGATTTCGGCTATGCTTCAAGTGTGTCATCCTCCATGCTATATTAGCCACTCTATTAGACACTCTTAGCAGAATAGCCTCGCCAGAAATTTATGCATGCACGAATCCGTTGGCTGTTGTTATGTGAACTGCATTTGCCGTTGAATAGTCGGGCGTAATTTCTATCAAAGGTATATGCCTGTGTGTTATAACGGTGTACATAAATTCCGAAAAAGCCTATTAAACCGACCACAGGCTCAGCCTCCTTCCAGTTTCCAATACACTAATCGTAAATGGTTGGTTTATCATTGCAAAATGACAGAGATCAGTTTTCTGTAAGTGTACCACACAGTACGTGTGTCAATTTTGGATTTGCCTTTTTTTGAAGCTATTTTGCTATGTTTAAGACCATCAAAATGGAATCCTTGTCAATTACGAGCTATTACATCGCAATTATTCATTGGGAGCATAATTGCTATGAAATTAGGCGGATGCTTGGAATTAGAAAAATTGTCACTCGTTTTAAATGATTTTAAGGATACCTCCTATGTGGCTTATCTCTTACAGGTAGTCGTTGTAACATTATTACCTAAATTCAACAACCTGTTGGACTGTATACGCGTACATTCTCCGGCATCTCACTTGTGCAACTTGCTAGGAAAGGGCATAGTGTTCGGGGAAACATTGCCGATACCCTCTCCGTTAGGCAAGGAAGCTAGCCTATCCATTTGATAAATGCGTCTCCATTAAAAGGTAGTGCAATGTATCACCTTCGAAATTCATAGGAAGCATCAACTTTTTGATTAAATCGTATCAGCTAGTACAAATCGAAATTATAACCAGCTGTGAGATGGTGAATGGTGCTAACAATATGCCACATCCTCTAACATAATAATTAGCTGTTTTGCCCCGCCCTTCATTGCAGTCATCTGAGTATTTATTTATTCATATCTAAACGAAGCTAGATTTGTTTTTCTGCAGTCGTTCAATACCAGCGTGTGATACTAGGATTTTACCTTGCACGCAGTGCCTCACGTTTGCTCTTGGCTTTGATAGATACGTTAATTACACCGGTGACTTTCAAGCAGATATTTACGTAGAAGAAGAGCTAATGTGAGGGAGAGTAAGTTAAAGCTAAATGAACTGCGCAAGTAGGTTAATTCTTATTGTTTTTCTGTTTGTAATTAGGATGTTTGGAGTTTTGTTTGTAACTGGAAGGTTTAGAGAATCTTCTGAGAGGTCAATTAAATTTCAAAACTAAAAATAGGGACCAGAGAATAGATGATTTTTTCCGTTGTTAAAAATTGGCTGATTTTAAACGTGACAGGTTTGCTTGCGACTAGGATTTCAGTTTGAAAAATAATTGATTTCACCAACTGGACACCGAAAGGTAAGCCCGTGCAATATTTGTAAACCAACGCTAGGTTAATGTAATTCTGCATTTCGTACAGATAATGCTAGATATTTTTTTTCAGTAGCGAGGATAGTCACAATAATAATATTATGCGGTCGTGTATGATAACAGCATCTATCGACATCTACTAAAGATAGATTTTTTGTTCTCAATGTGCGCACATGAGTCAAGAACCCTATGTGTTAAATGACAAACTCCAACATTAATTTCAGAACGGTATTCATGCAGCTTCATAGCTTTAAACTATGAGCATCTGGTAACCTAAACGAAAAGGTCACTAAGAAATTATGATTAAGCTAAATGTAAACCACATTACGCAGCTGTCACCGTCAGGAAGTCTGAGTGAGATAGACACTAACAAGATGTAGACTCGATAGCCCCGTTTCGTAGCCATAGCTGTCAACTTATACAACCATTTTGTATATTGGTACGACCTCAACGGATATGCCGAATTGAAAGTCTTTTCCGGACTCTAGACAGTCTCTTTTTACTTCGATAATAAAACACAAAACCAGTTGAATCTACTACCAAATCGAATTCGTACCGAATTCGCTTCTTTAAAGTAAGTTGCCGTATATGAACAAGCGCAGTATTCAATGAGGAAATTGCTTTCCGACATGGGTGTTGTTTCCATCATGAGGAGCATAAAGAAAAAAAAAACATCCGACCGGAATATATTACTCATTGTAAGATAATTCTAGCCTAAGTTCTGGTTAGTTTAACTAGAAGTGACCAACCGGAGCTTTCCCAGAGAGAGGAAGGAGCATGCTCGACGGTCATCAATTTGCGGATCTTGTTATAGATTTCTGTTAGTTGGCAGAATGCGATCACAGCGAATATAGCAAATGGAGGATGACGTGTAAATGACATGGAATATGATCTCCATATAACAACATCACATTAAAGTGATAAGTTACTACTATTAAACCCTGCAAATTACCATACACAGAAATATAAATGTAATTGCGATTCGGTGAAGCCGACAT